AGGGGGCTGCAGTCATGCCTCAGAGTTGTGATGGAGGGGTCCCGGGTGGAGCCGGCCCAAACCTATCTTCCTTCCACATCTCTCGCCATCGTCTGATTTCAGGTAGAGAGATAAACATGACAGAGGCCCCTTTACCGCTTTGAGTTCAGGGGAGCAAAATTTGAGCATTCTTGGGGGGATGAAAGTAACAACAGCCACGGTTTATCAAGCACGGATTGTGTGCTAGATAGACACAGTAGCTCTCATTTAATCTTCACCACAGCTCTGTGAGGTTGGAATCATTCCCAGCCCCATGTCACAGCTGGCAAAATCGAGGCTCGGAGCGTTTTCGTGGCTCTTTCGTGGTCGTTGAGTGGATCAGCAGCAGAGCTCATATCTGGGCTCCGTCTGTACCTCTGGCGATCGACCTCTTTCTGTAGCACCCGCCACCTTCTGAGAGACTGCAAACTTGAATTACCCTCAGGACCCCGACCTTGTAGCTCTTGTTTCGGCCAATTATGGGAAAGGAACAGTGTGGTCTGGCGGGACAGACACCCTGGGCTGAGATAAAAGGCCAGGAGTTGAATTCTGGGTCTGTTGATGATAATCTGTGTGGCTGTCACAATAATGCAGGCGAGAGGTGATGGGCCCCAGCGAGCTAACTCTGAAGGTAGGAATAAGTCTGCATCTATTTTGAAAACACAGCTAATGGGATTTGCTGATGGATTGCATGTGGATTGTGAGAGGAAGAGAAGAGTGAAGAACGACCTCAGGGTTTTCAGCTGAAGCAACAGCAAAGGGGGAGCTATCATTGTTAGAGGTGGGGAAGAAAAAAGTGCTTGTAAACACAACACATTTAAATTTGGGTGGTTCCTGAACTGTCACTGAAGTTCTTAGAACTTCTCTTGGTTCAAGAATGGAATGTCATGTGTAGCAGAGTGGTCATGCCCTGCTTACATCCTCACATTTTCAGTGACTTCTAATGGCCAGCAGCTGCTACCAGAAACCAGCTGGTCTGGCACACGGCAGGTGAGAAGAGCCAGGGGGAAGATGCTTCCTGGAACAACCCTTAACGAAGCCCAGCTCTCTTGCCCCTCAGGTGAGGGGACTCTGAGATACGCGTCCATGTGATCGCCTGGAGGTCCCTGCTGGAATTAAGATCCCGTTGCCCACAGCACTGCCTGCCTTGTAGCACATCTTTGAACACATATTATACTGGCTGCCTGGGAAACTGGTGTTTCCTGGGGTCACCTCCAAAATAGACTATTTGCATTGGAATTCTTTTTCTTTTTTTTGAGGAAGATTAGCTCCAAGCTAACTGCTGCCAATCCTCCTCTTTTCGCTGAGGAAGACTGGCCCTGAGCTAACATCCATACCCATCTTCCTCTACTTTATACGTGGGACGCCTACCACTGCATGGCTTTTGCCAAGCGGTGCCATGTCCGCACCCAGGATCTGAACCGGCGAACCCCGGGCCGCAAGAAGCAGAACATGTGAGCTTAACCACTGCACCACCAGGCCGGCCCCTGCACTGGAATTCTTATCTCAGAGTTTGCTTTTGGGGGAACCCAAACAAAGACACTCTGGGCCAAGAGACGATGAGCTTGCAACATGGTTCTGGTTTGCTTGTGACCAAGAGGTCCCTGGGAGGCAGGACTGTCAGTGCCAAAGCTGGGAAAGTCCTGAGCAAATTGGGATGAACTGACCACCCTTGTAGGAGGATAGCGTGGTGTCAGGGAAGCCAAGAGGAGAGAATGCTTCAAGGAGAAAAGGGGATAATGGATGGGTAGTTCAAATCATCACGTTGCACACCTTAAATATATACGACTTTTATTTGTTAGTTTTACCTCAGTAAAACTGGAAAAAACCAAAAACACGTGATCATAAAAAAGAAGAAAAGGGGATCAACAGAGTCAAATGTGACCCGAGAGGCAAGTTAGAAAAGACTGAGGAGCAAGCAGTGGGCTCCCCGCTGAGGACCCGCTCAGCGTGGGCCGTCCTCCATGTGTTGGGGGCGCAGTCAGACTGCAGCGAGGCAAGCGGTGAGAGTGGGAGGAAGTGGGGTGGCAGGGCGTGAGCAGCTTGACTCGAAATCTCAGCTGCGAAGAGAAAGAGAGCGACAGAGTGGATGCCGCAGCCGGGAGAATTTGAGCTGCGCCAGACTGGACTGTGCTTCCTCCTGGCTCTCCCAAGCCCGTTGTTCCCATCCTAGATCTCCTTCAAGGGGCCTCAAGACTGATTTTGTTTCCCTCATGATTTTTGTTCTTGGGGCATTTTGCTTTGTGCTTTGAGATATTTCCTCCATGTGGTCTTTTTCTAAGCCCTCTTGACACCGATCATCCTCTTTAATTCATCCAGCAGAATTCCCCTTTTTTATTTATTCCCTTTTTATTTAGTTCCGTAGATCTTTATGGTGCTGTCCTTGAATCTCCTTACATTCTTATTTTTCTTTATTCTTGTTTACAGTTGTTGTCTGTCTGCTCCAGGAGAAGCCCTGTTTCTCTTGGTGTCGATCATGTCGGCATCAGTATCTTCTTTTCAGCTGCTGGGCCTCTCACAGGTTGTCGCTTTTCTTTGGGGCTCAGATCTGGGGGTTGAGAACTCTCAGCAAGGGCAGTTTCCCAAGTGATGGGAGGAGACGAATCCTTCACCCCAGGGGGTCCATGGGTGCACCAGGCAGGCATGCAGAGCTGCCTCCTTGCTCCCCAATCTCCTCATGTCCTTCTAGATTCAGGAGCGGGACTCCTCGTGGAGTTTTTAGGGGCCAGAGGGATCAGACACACACACAGGGATGATGCTCACTTTATCACAAGAGGTCCATGGCCTCCTGTGGGCCAGAATCTTCCCAGGATATATCGTGTCTGATCTTTGCCCCAGAGCATTTTCAGCTTATCTTGGGACCCTCCACCTGGTGCACAGGGGAGACGTTTCAACTTCAGATTTCCTTTTGGGGATTTCCCGAGATACCATCCTCACTCCCACCCAGCTGCCATGGGTCCTAGCAGATTTTTGGTTTAAAGAGGCAGACATATTAGGGAAGGGAGTAGAAGAGAATGGAGACAGGTACAGTGGCCATTTTTCTACAATGTGCCGTTTCTCTTCTTTAACGCTGGGGCCAGCAAACTACAGCCTGAGGGTCAAATCCTGCCTGCAGCCTGTTTTGTATGCCCACTGAGCTAGGAATGGTTTTTACTTTTATAAGACACACACATATCCCTTTACACATACATCACATATATTGTGTGTGTGTACCTCTATTTATCTTTCTCTCATCTATCTGTATCCATCACTATATATGGCCTGAAAAGTCTAAAATGTCTAAAATATTTATTATCTGACCTTTTACAGAAAAAGTTTGCTGACCCATCTTTACCATATTTAAATGCCACTGGGGAAGATCCAGGAGACAGGATGTGAGAGATGAAAGACTCAGGAGAGAGAGAAGATAATCAATGGAGAAAGTTCTGCCAAAGAGGCAGGAAGGGGTGAGATCCAAAGCACAGAGGGAGGGGTTAGCTTTAAACAGGAGGGGGGACCCCTCTGCTGCTGTGGAAGCACGGAGGAGGGGACGATGGGCATCGGTGAGGGAAGGAAGCAACAACAGGTAGGGGTGTGGGTGTACCTGTAAGGGATGTCAGAAAGTTGAGGGGGTTTCCATCAGCTGGTGTTTATTGTCTCTGTAAACTTGGAGACACAGCCTTCTCCCTCATGTAAAGGGAGATGATGAGGATTGAGGAAGGGAGTGAAAAACGGGAACTCCCCACATGGGCAAGTTGACTAGGGCAAGGAAGAGTAAGTTGTAAGTAGCATGAAGAGTCTCGTTTGGGTCAGAGAGCGCACATTTCTAATGGCTCCAGGCTGAGTGATGCTGGGATCTCGTTGCTTCGGTGGACGAGTGGAGAAGAGACATGGTTGGCTCATAAGGAAGGATGCTTTAGCTGCAAGCCACAGATTACCTGACCCAAAGTGGCCTCACAGAGGGAATTTGTGTGTCTTAATAGGAAAAAGTCCAAGGGTTGATTCAATAACTCAACAATGTCATAAAAGCCCAGATTATTTTCATCTTTCCACTCTTCCATCCTTAATATTTCCATGACATCTTCTCTCCAAGCATCATATTGTTATATGATAACAGCCAAAAATAAGAAGTCGTGTGCAGGTTCTCCTTAAATTTGTGCTTGTTTTTATCAAAGAGAAAAAGTATTCTCCAGTCTGTGTGTCTTCTATCTCATTGGCTAGACCTGGTCCAAATGCCCATCCTGAACCATTCGCTAGCATATAGGAATGAGAGCACTGTTTAGTGAGTTAATTTAGGTTGGTGTAGACAAGGGTTTCCCATCCTCAGCACTACTGATATTTGGGGATGGATGATTCTTTGTTGTGTATCTAGGGGCTGTCTTGTGCATTGTAGGATGTTTAGTGGCTTCCTGGACTCTACCAGTTAGATTCTGGTAGCATTCCCCTCGCCCCAGTCATGACAACCAGTTGAGACATTGCTAAATGTCCCTGAGGGGAGGGAGAAATCACCCCCAGCTGAGAATCATGGGATTTAGACCAGTCTCAACTCAGTCCCCTGGGTTCAGGCACGTTGCTGACTCAAATCTGAAAACAATCAAGGTTCTGTTAATAAGGCGCATGTGATGGTGGTGATGGCTGCTGAGTAGACCATCCACAGTGCCCGCCATTGTTGGATCAGTCCCGGATTGAGGTTTTCCCAGGTAGGTACGGAATCAGAAGGAGGAAGAGAATGAGAGAGTAGGGGAGACAATCATTTGACCCGGTTGATCATGAGATTTAGCCCGGATAAGAAAGGAGGTAAAGCTGATGCTTTGGGAGAGGCTGATGGCTGGAGGGACTGGATGAGTTTATAAAGCAAATTGACAATGAGTAAGGGTAAGAACTTGAGCAAAGGCCTTGAAAGAGGCCTCCTCATTAACAAAAAGTCAAGGGAGTGTTTGCAATGGTCATGATTTGGGTATCCAGAGATAAGCTTGGGTTGAACACATCATAGCAAGGAGAAATCCAATTCAACACACATTTATTGAGAACTCATTTTGCAGAACTAACACTTCAGGAAGCAAAGGTTAAACGTTTCCTCTCCAAAGATGACATGTATAATGATTTCCCTCGTCCCCAGCTTCATTCTTTGTGATGCCAACCAGACCATGGATATGACTTTGCACGTGGAGTTGAATGTTCTAGTTTTAATATTTTCTCTTCACTGGTCCTAGAAAAACATTCCCCCCAAATAGGTGTTTAGATTAAAGGTAGATGTAAGAATAAAGCAAAACAAAATAAAACAAACAAACAAACAGCAACAAAATAGAGAGAAAGAGCAGGCGTGGGTTAAAGCCAGACAGCTCCACCCAGCAGGCAAGGATGGCATGATCACCGAGCATCTTGGAATCCTAGGACAGGTGTGGCCTTCTTTAGCTTATTGTGGGAGGACTTCTCAAAAATCCAGCATGAAGAATTTTTTTGGGAAAATTTTTGGATGTAGTATCTCACTCTAGAATGTCAGTGCTCCGGATGTTGGTTTTTGTCTATGAAGAAAGGCTAGACTCTGAGTTCCATGAAGTTAAGGACTGTGTTGGTCTTGTCATTTTTTATATGTCCATTGCCTACCTTAGTGTCTGACACTTCATAAAACTCAACAAATATTCTCTTTGCCCCGTACAAGTTACAGCTTGGTTTATAAGCCCCAGGGGAACCAGTATCTTGTGAGCAGCACACGAAGCTAGGAGTTCCTGGCCGATATACATGTAAAGGTTATTGTCTGCAGGAAGGCCAAAGCTGTGCCTTCCCTCCTGGCATTTATGGTTCGTTCACAGAACTCCCTGTCCAGTCAAGTGTGGCTTTTCCTGTAAACAGTATTGCCTGGTTGCATAACTCACCTTCCAACAGTGGGAGAATCTTTTCATGGATTATGAGCTCTGGAGCCCATCCTGCTCATCTAGTGACATACTTTCTTACAGATATGTTCTCGCATTTCTCTAAGAGCAAATAAGGGACAGCTGTGGAGAGAAATCTCGGATAGTGCTGGAGGCTCACTTCTTGGTGCATTGAGCCTGAGTTAGTTCAATGGAAGAACAGACGAATACCAGCAACCGAGCTCTGGAAAGGTTCCCTTTCCACTAGGACCATTTCCTCCCCCAGGAGGGTCCCATTATTCCATGCACTCCTCCCCTGTGATTATGTAGAGCAGCCGGGGGGTCCTTCTCCTGGAGCCCCTTCCATGCTGTCCACCAGCTCCACTGGGCTCACGTCCGTGTCTATGGGACAGTGGGATTTCAGGGAATGATGACCACTCCATGTCCATGAGTCTCCCCTTGAAGGACTCTACTTTAGATGCTGGTGTTTTACTCACACTTCTTTGAGAGACAAGAATATACACAGAAGCCAGCTTAAGTACCGTCAGTGAGCAGGCAAGAGTCACCGAGGAACAATATGGTGAGAAGGAGGAATGCGAACCAGGTCATCAGGGAAAGAGCCCTTCTCCACAGCTTCCAGAAAAGGAAGCTTGTACTCGGATGTACAAGGAAGCCTGTACTAAGACGTGGAGAGGGAGCTCAGGGGGTCAAGAATGAAGCGTTAGAATAAGTCACAAGCCGTCTTACCTCACTGGGTCTTGAGTCAGGGCCAAACCTGCTGGAAAGTGTGTAAGTCTCAGACTTAGTTTTAAATTTCATGATCTCTCCAAACCACTTTCGGACCTGAAACACCAAAGGAAATATCAGGATGGTTTTTGTTAACATCAGAGAAGAGAAAAGCCACTGAGTCAGGAAGAAGATGGAGACTTTATGAAAAAAACTTCCTACAAAGTGTAGCATATACATATGATGCAATGTTATTCAACCTTAAAAAGGAATGAAATTCTGATACATGTTGCAACATTGGTGAACCTTGAAGACATGCTAAGTGAAATATGCCACATACAAAAGGACAAATATTGTATGATTCCATATATGAGATCCTTATAATAAGTAATCAAATTAATCGAGACACAGAGTAGAATCGTGGTGACCAGGGTCTTGGCAGGGGAGGACGGGGTGTTGTTCCCTAATGGGAACAGAGTTCAATTTGGGACGATGAGAAAGTTCTGGAGACGGGTGGTGGTGATGGTTGCACAATGCAAATGCACTTAAAGCCGCTGACCTGTACACTTAAACATGGCTAAAATGGTAAATTTTATCTTACATGTATTTTACCACAATATTTTTTCCCACACTACAGAATACATCTTTGTCATAGAAAATTTATGACATATGCAAATTCAAAGGAAGAAAATAGACATCACACATAATTCCTCAATCTAGGGAAAATCACGGATGATGTCTTGGTGGTATCCTTCCATATGTCTTGGTTTGTGGCCCCCAGAAGCAGACCTGAGCCGCAGGTTCAAGTGTAACGAGTTTATTTAAGGGGTGCTGCCAGGAAACACTAGTAGGTCAATGGGGAAGTGAGACAAGGAAGGGAAGGCAGCCGGTAAAGGGTGCATAATCCTTTCCACTGTGGGCAACTGAGGCTCAGTCCCATTGGGGGAGTTCTTGGACAGCACTGGACACCCCGCGGAGTCATCCCACCTCAGGGACAGAGGAGCTGGGACACTTATCCACCAGCCCTCAGCAGTCATTGGTTGATTGCTGCTCTCAAGGCCAGTACTGTCTGTAGCCACCAGCTTGCTCCATGCATGGGCCAGCCATGTCCCGTGGGCAGAAAGAAGCTCAGAGGCACGGAGTCACAGGTGTCTGCAATGAGCAACCCTGAGCAGGAAGAGATGAATGCCAAAGGGACACGAGAGGGCCATTGACAGCATCTGCTACACCAAGATTTCCCAGCCTTGGCGTTACTGACATCTTGGGTTGGGTCACGCTTTTTGCTGGGGGCCGTCCTGTGCACTGCAGGACACTGAGCAGCATCCCTGGCCTTGGCCCACGAGACGCCAGTAGTGCTCCTCTTCAAGGTGTGTCCCCAGACATTGCTGAATGTTCCCCCCGCAGGAGGGGGCAAAATGACTTGAGAACCATTGTGCTTTGCCATATACACCCATACCCACACATAAATAAATACATAACAATAACATAAACAATAACTGTTTATATACGTTATATAAACAAATAGAACGTTTCTGGAGTAATGTTTTGAAACTTGCTTTCTCACGAATATATTTTGAATGTCCTTCCAGTCATAAAATATTCTTGTGCCTGGACAAAAATCAACATCCGAACGTTCAAGGTTTTTGGTTGTCCATTGCTCTCTAGAGTGTCTGCTCTGTCAGCTCAGTTGCTTCCTTTCCCGAATCCTTGAGGAGCTCTTTTTCCTTTTCTAGTTAGGTCCTTTGGGCACATGGATGCAGAGTGAGGAAAAGACAGAAGGAAGGAGGAAGGGAGGGAAGGGGAGGGAGAAAGGGGGAGGAAGAAAGAAAGGGAAAGAAGGGGAGGAAGAGGAGGAGGAGAGGGAAGAAGAAGAAGGAGAAGGAGGAGGGGGCGGAGGACCAGGAAAGAAGGAGTGTCAGTCAGGACAGGTTTGCTGCAGGAGCAAACAAGCTCAAAGTCTTAGTGGCTGAACTCAACAAAGGTATACCCGGACTATGTGTCATCTTCAAGGCCTTTGAGAAGAACAAATAAAGAACGTGAGTAATTTTGTATTTCTTCTGGTTGCTGAATTGTGTTGTTTGGCCATTGTACCTCTTGACACGGACCATGTGGATCCCAGCTTCACTGGGGATCCAGCCTTTCACAACATTTTATTTAATGGCTGCATAGGATCCTGTTCTATAGATGTGATACGATTTAACTAAATCTAGGTAGAGGTATGTTCACGTTGTTCAGTAGTATACAGTGGGGTTGCATCTTGCCAGGGCTTCAGTTCCAGAGTCAGCAAGCAGTGCAAATGGTCCCTGAGCACCCTCAGTGAGGCGCCCTCTCAGAGGCTCACCTCAACAAGCCCAAAGCAGCCTGTGTTTCCCTGGTTTAGACCCACAACGCTCTTTCTTCTGCAGCCTGCAACACTGTTTCTTTTGTTTCAGCTGGAGACACCGTGAATTGGCTTGTATTTGCTAGCCATATTGAATGCAAAATATATATCTTGAAAAAGTGGAAGCTTGCACTATGAGATCCCTCAGGAACTGAAATGGACTGAGGGAAGAGCACACCTAAGTCTGTTTCATTGTGCTCACTCAGGTGCCACCCAGGAGAGTTGCCTACAGTTTTATTTGGCTGTACTATAAGCTACAGCTGCTATAACGAGACGGATGAACCGATGGACGTGTGGACGGGCATGTGATCCAGCACACTCAGCACAATGCTAATTACAGCATCTAGGTGATTGGTATACATGTGTTCACTGTACAATTCTTTCAACTTTTCTGTATGTTTGAAAATGTTTGTAACAAAACATTGGAAAAATTAGCTTATTATGTAACGTAATTAACACATATTAGTATGAAGACTATTCCATCACGTGGAAATGTGTTTAAGAATTCATGTTAAGTGGTGTGGTAGATGGAATTATTGATCTCCATTATTCACTATTCTGCTGTAGTTATGCCTTATGGTGGGTGGTGCATTCTTCTCCCATTGACTTTGGGCTTGACATGTGACTTTTTTTGGCTAACATGCTATTGTACTGGAGGTGGTACAAACAGAAATCACAAGACCTGAAATGGCTGTGCCCAGTAGGACTTGCTTTTTTGTGGTTTTGCCATTGTCATGAGAAGAGCTTATGTTGGGGAGCTGCTCCCCTTTCTTCCAAGCTTCAGGATGAGTCCCAAAGAGCAGGCCTAAACATCATCTGAATCCCGGAGCCAAGCCATGCGAGCCCAGCCAGGATCAGCTGAGGCCCAATCAACCTGCAGCCTCAAGAAGGAGAAAAGTAAATATGCGTGTTTAAGCCACTGAGATTTTTGAGGTTGTTTGTTACACAGCAAAAGCTCACTATTACAAATGGGAAAGCTGAAGAAAAACACATTTCCTTCATGTAACAATTATTTAATTTCTGCAAGCCTTTAATAAATTGATGTATCTTACAATCGATAGCATATTAAAGTAGAGAAAATACAAGCAGTGTTTACACACTGCTCACAAGCTCATATGAAAATTTGGAGAACATGGATTTAAATGTTCATTAACCAACATACCTCCAAATCTTTCTTAACTGTAAAACAGTTAAAAAAAGAAAGAGGTCAACATTTACCTGCTGGCTGAGGAGGCAGTACACCAGGAAGATGAAGACGCCCTGCAGGCTGTTGATGATGGTGAAGAGGTAGGCCATGACACGGGCAGCTGGACCCACCTGCAGGATTCCCAGACACCAGGTGCATCCCAAGATGAAGAGCTGAGCTGTGGCTTTAAATGTCAGCATCCTGGGGAGAGTCATAAACAAGGATATAGAAAAGCTAATGGTGGACGTGGACACCCCCGTAGCATAGTCGTTAATGGTGAGGACGCCGGAGCTAGATTGCCTGGTTTTAAACCCAAGGCAGCACTAACCAACTGTGTGACCTTGAGCCAGTACTTTATCTTCCTGTAACTCACCTACCTCATCTTGATAATACCCTATTTCACAGAGTTGCTGAGAAGACTACTTAAGACTTTAACATATGTAAAGTATTTAGGACAGCATATAGGACAAAATCAGTATCATACATAAAGCATTCTCAAACTGAGTGCTTTTTGTCTCTATCTCTACATGTCATTTATAGACGGAGGTGTCATATAATTTGTTACTCACACAGGGAGGCGCTTGAGATTAAAAGGGGTGCTAATTAATAATTACGAACGGTCAATAGGCATAAACTGGGACTGTCCCAGGCAAGCCGAGATGTAAGACCACCTTACTTATTGATCTATATATCCCTAATTTTAAAATATAATATGATATAAGTGAGAAAAGCTAGTTGAGGAACCATTTGCACAGTGTGATGCTGTTGTGGGCATGCCTGTTTGTTCTACAGAAAGTGCACAGGAAAAGGTCTGGGGAAAATATCACACATATCAGATCACACAGTTTGTTACCCCTGGCTTCCGGGGGACGTGGAAATCTCAGCAAGGGGGGAAGTTAGCCACTGACACTTTTTACTTTATATATTTAGAAAATACTAACAGATTTTTAACAAATGTGTTATTTTTATGATTAAAATAAAAGCAACAACAAATTACAACAAATTGAAAAGAATGCTGCAAAATCCAAAAGTACTCATAGCCCCAAATTCTTTGAAATAGTATTGTGCAAAATATATTTGAATCTAAATCCTTCCTATTGCATCTCATGTTGAGTGGCAGAAACTGCTGGCTTTTTCTGTCTCCTCTTCTTCCTTCTAGTGTTAGAGCCCTTCCCTTTTTGAGTTTTACCAAGGACACATAGCTACCCAGCTAGAGACTACATTTCCCAGCCTCCCTTGCAGTAGGTGTCACCATGTGACTGAGGTCTTGCCAATAGGATATGAGCAAATACGAAACGTGCAACTCCTTTTTGAGGAAGATTTGCCCTCAGCTAACATCTGTTGCCAATCTTCCTCTTTTTGTATTTGAGCCACCGCCACTGCATGGCCACTGACAGATGAGTGGTATAGGTCTGTGGCCGGGAATCGAACCCTGGCCGCCAAGGCAGAGTGCACCGATCTTAACTTCTAGGCTACCAAGGCGGCCCTGAAATGCACAACTTCTATGTCAATGCCTTCCTGTGGATGGGATGCTGGCAAAGACAACATCCTAGGGGATGGTGGAGAAAGCTGGAGCCCCTGGATCGCTGTGGGGAGAGCCTCCCCAGAACCCTGGCTGCTCACCTCTGGGCTGTGACAGGAGAGTGAAGTAAACCTCTATTTCATTCTTTTTTTGGGTCTTTTTGTTACAGCAGCAGAGCCTATACACTAGTAATACAGCTGCTCATTAACTGTGAGAATGGGAGATGGCAGTGGCCTTGCTGGTCCCTGGAGCCTGGTTGTGGAGTTTATACGTGTACGGACGCATAAGAGGTGAGCAGAGGACAAGTGGGTCAGAAGATACCATTTGCCCCATTTTACCTTATATTCTGGATGGTTGACACTTCACTGTTGAGAGAGGAAAATTTCTTTTTCAAAATCCAGAGGACCAAGAGAAAAAATACGAAATTCACCTGCAGGAATGATACAGACCATGCAGAATGCAAGTTAAAACACTGTCCCGCGTGCTCTGTGATCGCACATGACACCCGCCTCCCTGCACACGGGGCCGAACTGGCAGAAGGTGGAAAAATAAAATCACATGACTGAGAAAACGCACGCCCCCTGTACTGTCTGGTGCCCAGAGCGTCTGGCCCTGCCTCTTCGGTCAGAACACGGGAGCCAGCTTCTCACTCACACAGACAATGGCACAGACGGGGCCAAGGAAACTCCAGATCAATCCCTGGTCCAGGTGGAGCCAGCAGCTGGGAAGACGCAAAAGGAGACAGGAAGAGGGATAAGAGGAGGAACGTGATTGAACACCAAGCAACATCTTTGCCTAACAGAATGTCCAACGTCTCCTGACACTGTCAGCTGGTGACAGGGAAGCCTTTGACGTTCGCTCCATGTGTTAACACTACGTTAAACACTTTTAAGCACAGTCCTGTGGAATTTTCACACCAGCATTGTGAGGGTGGGGTCATGGGGACAACTTATCCCCATTTCACTATGGAGGGGACTGAGACTTGAGGACTTGGGGTCTCAAATTATGGGAGGGATGAAGCTGGTATCTAACTGCAAAACTGCCTCCTTCTAGAATCTTCCATGCTCTTACTGTCATCTTTCCCTGCCTCACTGGGAAAGAGGTTAGAGCTGTCACACTCCAGGGGAAAGCAGAGTGCATTTATGTGGGTATCCCAATCGTCATCATTAACACTGCCCTCAACACTGTCCACGGCACAGTGAGAGTCAAGCTCACCGATCATGTGTTCCATAAAGGTGAGGCCGGGATGCTGCAGAAATGGCCACGATCACGGCGGGGACTCCATAGCCTACCGGGAACATGAGCCACTTCATGAATCTGTTCATGTTTGAGTAGTTGACCACCGTCAGGTTGCGCGCAGTGAGGAAGAGGTTCAGGCCCTCCAGCAGCATCCAGGTGAAGGAGGCCAGGTAGAGATAGTGTAAGGCGCCCGCGATGACGGCGCACAGCACCTGGGGGAGGAGTGAGGCGTCACCAGGAGGGACTGTCGGGGTGGAGTGTGGCCCCAGGACCTCTCCCGTGCCTTGCCATTGGGGAGAAGTCTGATGCGTATGAAGGAGCGGTCAGAGAGGGTTTGTCATCTAGTTGCATCAGTCAATGTGACATTAGTCACTCACCCCCTAACCTTCCCCAGGACCCAAGATCATTTCATTAAGGCATCCAGGGCAGTGTGGCTCCATGGACCAGCACCCCCTGGGGCAGGCTGGAGGGTCCACTGGGACAGGATCAGTACCGTGATCTCTGTTCGGTCCATGGCCGTGAGGAAGAGGAGGTGGGCCAGGAAGAGGCAGAGCGAGAGCTGCAGGTGGAGCGAGGTGCTGGTGTTCTGGATGGCTCTGCACAGCAGGAAGGTGAGGGCCGCCAGGAGGAGGCACAGCAGAGAGAGGCTCAGTCCCACGTAGGTGATCACATCTAGCACGGGATCCTCCTCCTGGGACCCAGCAAAGAGGAGACCAGAGTCACCCCTTCCTGCTCCGTGGTTATGATTTCCCGCCTTGGATCAGGCCATCCCAGACACAGGCACAAAGCCAGATGACAGAGGGTGAGAAGTGTCTCTCAGACTAAGTCTTTTTTTCAGCTTTATTGAAGCGTATTTAATAGACAAAATATCGCCCATGTTGAAGGCACACACGTGATGAGTTTGGACGTGGGCATCCGTGATACCACCCCCACAATCAAGGTAGTAAACATATCCATCACCTCCAAAAGCCTTCCTGTCTCTCTCTTTCTTTTTCTTTTTGTGGTGAGAACACAACATGAGAGCCACCCTCTCACCCAGTTTTTCAGTGCACAGCACCATGCTGTGAACTGTAGGCTCTACGTCGCACGGCAGGTTCAAGCTGAAAGGCGGAGATATGCCAGACTCAGTCTTGCACCCGAGGAGCCGTACGAAGCCTGTGGAGCAGAGGCTGTTAACCCTTCTCAGGCACCTGCACCTGCCCTTTAGCTCTGCCCGTGGCTCCAGGGACCCTGCTGAGGGTGCTCCTCCTGCCACGTGAGTGAGCCCCGATATGCCCCAGCACTTCGTCACAAGTGCCAGGACGGAAATGCACCTGGAAGCTGCCCTCAGACGTTGACAGTTGGCGCCTGGTGGGCACATGTCCCAGCTGCCTCGCGCTTGTGTGGACGCCTCTGCGGCGCACGTCCTCCCGTCTCTCCCCAAAATACACAAAGGGATTAAGCCCCGGTTGCCCGTCCACGGGCTAACTTTGTCTTCAACGCATTGTTTACTGGAGGCCTTCTCTTCCCTGTGTCACTCCCCTGCTGCCCTGCTGGTGTGTCCTGGGCTCACCTCCCAGAGAAACTAGTTGCCCTCACATCCCCGCCTCGGGATTGCTTGCGGGAGACCCCAAACTGACACCCTGTGTAATCCAGCTCCTCAGAACTCATCTCATCAAAGACGGGGACCAGGGATCTGAGGAGCCACACGGACTCAGCGAGACTCACCAATGGGAAATGACAGCGCCATCCCTTATAATTATTTGGGGATTTTTGCTTATTTCACTGCCACTTTATAGAACTTTTAAATTCTTTGTTTTTTTTAACCTTAAAAAGTTGTGAAATATAAGACACACATAGAAAAGAGCATAAATGTCAATGTATGATATGATTAATAATTATTACAGAAACTCTCTGACCATGAACTAGTCTCTGGACTCTATTCCAGGAGCTCCTCCCAATTGCAAGTCACCTTCTCCCCCAGAGGAAGCCAGGATCCTCTTACGGTAACAATTCTTGCTCTTCTTTATAGCTTTACCACGTATGTATGCAACCCCTGAGAATATAGGTTAGTTGTCTTTTTCAGCTTTATATAGACGGAACAATATTCTGTTCCATACAGTCACTTAGGAACCCATAATGGCAGAGGCTTCACCAGCTTGTAGCTGAGCCCGCTGGAGGATGTTCCCTCACCATCGTGGTGGAGGATCCCACCAGGGATTTCTATGCTTCATCCCAGAAAAGTAGCATTGCATTTAATAGCACCCAACAGGAAGCAACCTGGATATCCATTAATTGTAGAATGGATAAGTAAATTATAGTACAGCCAAGCAAGGGAATATTATACATCAATGAAAATGAATTCACTAAATCAATTTCATAATTGTAATGCTGAATGAAAGAAGTGTTTTATGTTTTCAAACTTATTTTTCCTTTCCCACTGCCCTGTGCAATAGGAGAGGAAGAGATTTGCACCAAGGCTGTTCTGAGGGTACCACTTCCAACCCTGCAAGAAGGAGAGGGATGTGGGACTCCCCGTGTGCCGCCACCCAGCTCGTATCATCAGTGCATCCTCCGACCCCCACCTGGGATATGCGTCCAGGCTGCCTTCTCCCACCACCTCAACCGCTGCCACCGAATCTCTCTGCGAGTCCACTCTTGCTGCACTACCGTCTGTTCTCGACCCAGGAGCCAAGGACATAAATATGCAGCACCCCAGAGGCAGATCCTCCATTGCCTTCCCGTCGCAATTCACAGGAAATCGAAATTCCCGACCACGGTGTTTGAGGTCCGACACGTTTCCCTGCTCCCCTCTCTCCACCTGTCTCCTTCCACCTCCCCCATCTCACTCTGCTCCGGCCACGCTGCTTTCTGGAACACACCAGGCTTGCTCCTTCTTCGGGACCTTTACGTGTACATGTTTCTCTTCTTGGGATGCTTTTCCCTAAGACTTTTCCTACTGACTTTTTTAGGGGTTAAAAGGTTCAGGGACCCAATTCCAATGTTTGCATTTGTGGGTTTTTCCCGCAAGCCAACGAACATTTCTTGGACACCAGCTGGGAGTCCTACAATTCAACTCAATTCTGACCCTATTTACCTGGAGATGGTGTCAAATCCTGTGGGCTGAAGGCTCAGCTCCACAAGATTGTCCTCCGCCCCCGCCCCCTTCAGAAGCCGGCTGCAAACCCAGGTCGTCGCCTGTGCTTCTGACGGCCACAGACCGGAGGTTCCCACGACCTTCTCTCCTTGGGTTTGATTAAGTTGCTAGAGCAGCTCATAGAACTCAGTGAAATATTCCACTTACTAGATCACTGGTTTGTTAGAAAAGGACATAACCCAAGCACAGCCAGTGCAGAAGATGCACATGGAGCTACATGCCTTCTCCCAGCGTGTCACTTCCCCAGGTCTCCACACACTCCAACCTGGAAGCTCTCTGAAGGGTTTCTGTGGGGCCTTCACCACACAGGCAGGATGGACCCACTGAACGCCAGCCCCTCTCCCCTCCCCGGAGGCTGGGAGTGGGATGGAGGGTTCCAACCCTCTAATCACTGGGTCGGTTGCCCTGGCAACTTGGCCCCCACCCTTAGGGGCTTTCCCAAAGGAAATGCCAGGGTTTTAGGAGCTCTGTGCCAGAAAAGGGGAGAGGAGCAAATATATATTTCTTACTATTAATCACAGTACTGCAGACATAAAATCCAAATAATATAAAATCAATGATTTTACAGCGAACAATTCGGCGGCATTTAGTACATTCACCGTGTCGTGCAACCACCACCTCTATCTAGTTCCAAACATTTTCTTCCCCACAAAGTAAGACCCCAGGCCCGTTACGCAGGGTCTGCAGCCCCCAACTCCCCCCATTCCTTCCTCTCCCCAGCACCTGAGAATCACTGATCTGCACCTGTCTCCATGGATTTTCCCATTCTGGACGCTCCATATCAACGGAGTCACACGCTGTGTGATCTCTTGTGTCTGCTCCTCTCACTCAGCATGAGGCTTTGGGGTTCATCTGCATGGTAGCGCTACTGGCTCTTAATGTCCAGATTTCCGCTCAGTCACTTAATTCTGACGGACGCCCCCGGACCACCTGTCAGAGCAGCACGCCTTCTGCAGGCGCTCCAGCCACTCCCTCTCCTGCATTTTCTTCACAGCACTTACCGTCACCCACTAGGGGCTCAAATAGGATCAGGTGAGGTGGGTTAAACGTTACATCGTACCTGGCTGCTGACAGCCATGAGAACAGCGAAGCTGGACAGGTGGGTGGAATTGCATATGGTGTGACTTTCGTTCACTTTGTTCAGGAAACAGCCATCCGTGGACCAGCGACCCTTTGTGGTTTCCCAGTAGACACAGAAGACCTTGTTTCTGTGGTGCCTCATCTGAAAACAGAATGGGCTGGTCACGTTCTTGCTGAGGAGGGACCACTCCCGGAGTGTCGGTCCACGTGGGTGGGGGGCGAACGAGGAGACACCTGGGTTAGGAGTGACTCGGGCGATTTCTGTTTTAAGTGAAGAGGATGGCAGCCAGGACACCTGCCCCCTAGTCCCAGCTCTATTGGGATTCCACGTGACGTAGGACAAGATCATCTCCCTCTCTGGGAGGCAGAATTTTATAAGATATCCTTGGTTTCAGGACTTTCTCCTCCACTATGGGAGTCAGACAGAAAAAGAGTGTAAGGCCCACATAAATTTTTCTTCCACCTACTCTCTAAGCCAAATAACCCTTCACGTCAGTTCTGCCTCTGACCTCTTACAGCACAATAATTGCTCAGGTGATGAGAGGAGTAACCTAGGAGAGAAACGTCATCAGGAAGGACAATAAAATCAGCTTTCAACCTCTTTGTCTTTGTCCCAAGGGCTTCCAGAGCATTACTTTCTGGGGCCAAGGAGGCGAGTTGAATCTCTCCTGTTTGGGGGCTGTGTCTCCTTTCATAACTCACTGGACCATCCCCAGATTTCTTGCTCCACTCCCACTGCCCCATGCCATACATCAAAAATTCTATTTCTAGATTTTATGTATCAGGTAGAGAAAACCTACATTTACCAACCTCCCTCCACTTAACCCTTATTTAAAAAAAAAATTTAATTTAATTTATTTTTCCAAGTTTTATTGAGATAGAATTGACATAACGTTGTGTGAGTTTAAGGCACACACGCAGTGATTTGATAAATGTACATATGCAGAATAATCATCACAATAAGCCTAGTTGACATCTGTCACCTCACAGAGGTACAATGTTTGTCTTGTGGTTGGAACTGTTAAAAGCTACTGTCTTAGCAACTGTGGGATATGTTGTCAAATACCACAATACGGTGTTAATTAGAGGCACCGCGCTGTAGGTTGGTGCATCCCCAGACCTTATTCGTCTTGTCACTGGACGTTTGCACCTTCTGATCATCTTCCCCTATTTCCCACACCTCCTGTTCTTGGCGACCACCAATCGGTTCTCTGTTTCTATGTTTTGGTGTTTTAAGATTCCACATATAAACGAGATCACATAGTATTTATCTTTCTCTGTTTGACTTATTTCACTGAGCATAAGGCCCTCAAATCTCATCCATGTTGTTGCAAGTGGCAGAGTTTCCCCCAACTCTTATTTTCTTAACAGAGTGAAAGAGAGGAGAGTAAATGAATTTTATTGTGTCTATGTCTGGCTACTGACCCTCCTGCCTTCAAGAATTAAGGCAGAGAATGGGAAAAGGTAATGGGTTAAATAAAAGTCTCTTTTTTGATCAAGTTATGTAGTCTTAATAACTAATACCAGTCTTCTGTGCGAGGATGGACATTATCTCCCTGTTCAAGTTTCACAGATGTAGGAGGTGCCTGCAGCTAAAATAATTCTGTGCGCTGGAATAACTCTTCCCAAGAGAAATATCACGCGAGCTGCTTATGTGATCTGAAATTTCCTACCAGCCATGTTAAAAAAGGTAAACAGGTCGAATTAATTTTAATAATATATTTTATTTAAAATAGTTTATATTTCATATTCAAAATAGTATCTTTTAATATGTCAATATAAATCAATACATATAATTAGTATAAAAATTATGAAGGAGATATTTTACACTCCTTTTTTTCTTACTAAGTATTCAAAATCTGGAAATGTTACATCTAAATCCAGAAACACTAAGTCTTCAAGATCTCAGTTCACTTGACAAAGGAGCTGAGGGCCTACAATGGAGAAAAGAAAGTCTTTTCAACAAATGGTGCTGGGAAAACTGGACAGCAACATGTAAAAGAATGAAAATTGACCATTCTTTTTCACCATTCACCAAAATAAACTCAAAATGATTCAAAGACCTAAAGCTGAGACCTGAAACCATAAGGCTTCTAGAAGAAAACGTAGGCAGTACAATCTTTGACATCAGTGTTAAAAGGATCTTTTCAGACACCATGTCTTCTCAGACAAGGGAAACAACAGAAAGAATAAACAAATGGGACTTCATCAGACTAAAGAGCTTCTTCAAGGCAAATGAAAACAGGATTGAAACAAAAAAAACAACCCACTAACTGGGAAAAAATATTTGCAAGTCATAGATCCAACAAAGGCTTAATATCCATAATATATAAAGAACTCACACAACTCAACAACAAAAAATCAAATAACCTGATCAAAAAATGGGCAGGAGACATGAACAGACATTTCTCCAAAGAAGATATATGGATGGCCAATAGACACATGAAAAGATGTTCATCATCGCTGATTACCAGGGAAATGTAAATAAAAACTACTCTAAGATATCACCTTACACCCATTAGAATGACAAAACTAACTAAAACAAATAGTAACAAATGTTGGAGAGGTTGTGGAGAAAAAGGAACCCTCATACACTGCTGGTGGGAATGCAAACTGGTGCAGCCACTATGGAAAACAGTATGGAGATTCCTCAAAAAATTAAAAATAGAACTTCCATACAACCCAGCTATCCCACTACTGGGTAGCTATCCAAAGAGCTTGAAGTCAGCAATTCCAAAAGTCCCATGCACCCCAATGTTCATTGCAGCATTATTTACAATGGCCAAGACGTGGAAGCAACCTAAATGCCCATCAACAGATAAGTGGATAAAGAAGTTGTGGTATATATATACAATGGAATACTACTCAGCCATAAAAAAGAACAAAGTCGTCCCATTTGCAACAACATAGATGGACCTTGAGGGAATTATGTTAAGTGAAATAAACCAGATAGAGGACAATCTCTGTATGACTCCACTCATATGAGGAATTTAAAAATGTAGACAAAGAGAACAGATTAGTGGCTACCAGGGGAAAGATGGGGTGGGGGGTGGGCACAAAGGGTGAAGGGGTGCACCTACAACACAAGTGACAAACAATAATGTACAATTGAAATTTCACAAGATTGTAACCTATCATTAACTCAATAAAAATTAAAAAAAAAAAAAAATCTCGGTTCAGATCTGCCACATTTCTAATGCTCAATAGCTACAGGTGGCTCCTGGCTACCATATTGGATGACACAGGTCCACAACCACTGACAAGAGGAGAATCAAGTTGTGCAGTCTACCTGCACGAAACCTAAGCGAGTTCAACTGCAGCTTTGACCCACCTCCACGTGCTGAAAACTCAGAGTCAGAGGATTGGAGAGGGAGATGTTCCTCTTGGGTCCAATACCAGCACTCACTACGTGAGAGTTCAGGCGAATTTGATGCGTCTCATTCTTCTCTTCAAAAAAAGTTGCATTTATGATGTTTCCGAGAGAGGAGTATGAAACGAAGGCGACCGCGCTGGGACCTGAGGAAACAGAAAAACGGAGTCTTACAAAGTGCCACCATTCCTCCTGTCCCTCTTCCCCACCTCACAGCTGCTATGCTCCCATGATCTCCACACCTGCACAGGTGTGCCCAGGAAGCTCGTTCTTCCTCTCATGCTCTTCCTACCCAAATGTAACTCATCCTCAAAGACTCAGTTCAAACCCAGCCTCTGGCTCAAGAAGTCTTCTCCAGCAGCTTATGGTGCTTCTTTCTCTGTACTCGTGTTCCAAAAAAGCTGTTGCTACACAGGTGAGAATTCAACTCTCCTCTCATTATTTCACGTAGATTGAATCCTATTTTCCCAACAGGCACTAAACTTCTTGAGTGACTATACAGGATGTTTTATTTGGAAACCACAGGGCCCCCTGCACAGTGCCAAGCATGTGGTAAATGCTGAATTCTTTTAAAATATCTTCTTCAGTTCCTAAAAAAGTTTAATTTATATTTCAAACATCCAGAAAAGTATTTAAAAGGACACAACTGACAACTACATCCAGAGTTAACATATACTATCAATTTTCCATAAAACTTCAAAGTTATTTTTTAAGGAAATAAAATGTTTTACATTACTAATTACTAGGGAAATGCAAATTAAAACCACAATGAAATATCATCTAACGCCAATCAGAATGGCTATTATTAAAAAGACCAGAAATAACAAGTGTTGGAGGGATGTGGGGAAGAGGGAACCCTCATACACTGCTGGGGGGAATGTAAATTGGGAAACAGTATGGCGATTTCTCAAAAAATTAAGACTAGAAATACAATGTGATCCAGCTATTCCACTTGTGAGTATTTATCCAAAGAACATGAAAACAATAATTTGAAAAGATATATTCACCCCTATGTTCATTGCAGCACTATTCACAATAGCCAACACTTGGGAACAACTTAAGTCCCCATCAAAGGATGAATGGATAAAGAAGATGTGGTGTATATAGATAATGGAATACGACTCAGCCACAAAAAGATGAAAACTTGCCATTTGTGACAACACGGATGGACCTTGAGGGTATTATGCTAAGTGAAATAAGTCAGAGGGAGAAAGACAAATACAGTACGATTTCACTCGTATGTAGACAATATAAAACAAACACATAGACATGGAGAACAGATTGGTGGTTACACAGGGGAAGGGGTGGAAGGAGGGTGGAAAGGAAGATGGGGCACATGTGTGTGGCGATGAATGGCACCTGGACTTTTGGTGGTCAGTACAATGTATCTATGTAGAAGATGAACTATAATGATGTCCACTGGAAATTTGTGTAATATTTTAAGCCAACGTTACCTCAATAAAAAAAAGTGAAAAAAAGAAAGTGTTTTAGATATAGCTAAACCTCCCACTATTTCATGCTTTCTTCCTCTCCAGAAATAATCACAGACTTGAAGTGCAGCCTTCCGTGAGTGTTTTTGTGACTTACTATGTATGCGTTTCTATAACAATATATAGTGTTGTTTCCTGTGTTTAAAAACTCACATAAATGGTATCCAACTTTGGATATTTTTTTCCAACTTTCTTTTGTGGTTCCAGTTAATATTTTCAAGGTTTAGTCCTACTAGTACATGTATATTTGGTTAATTTTTTTACTTAACGTAGTGTATCACATTATTTGATACACCACAATTTCTGTGTTGTAAGAGTAAATGATACAATTTTGACGAGGAGAAACAGAAAACGAAATACAATCCATACAAAATTCCACTACTCAGAGATAATCACTGTTGGAGTTCTAGATTTTTTCTAGGCATCTATTTGTGCATCCAAATATACACGCATGTCCAAAAGTTGTTAATGGGCGAAAGCTATGACCGGATTTCCTTCCAGTGGAAAGCTGCCTACTGGGGATTATCTGGTTCTTTGGGGGTGCTGCATCTTTTATTGACTTTCTATTGCCAAGCAATTTCACAACTCTGTTAGATGGAGAGGGCATAGAAGATAACATGTAGAAACTGATAATAGCACAAATGGTTCTTTCTGGTAAACAAATGGCAAGCAAGAGGATATATTGGAGCATATGAGGAAGCCATAATTCAGCCTGACCTTGTTTTTCCAGAAGGGTCTGGTGTGGCCATTGAGCATGCATTGTACATCTGCTTTAAGCATTTGCTACGTCCCAAAGACAAGAACAAATGCCCTTAAGATAAAGGTGCAACTTCCCCCCACATTGACATTTCCTTAAGGATAAGCATCTCTCCCTAGACTAGGAACCAATTGCTGTGCCCACCTGTGACCACCCAACTCGAGACAGCAGACCTGCTACCTGCTGTGTCCATCAATTGCTGTGTGGACAGAACAGTCTCATGACTATTGTAAAAGGGACATTCCAATCATATGCGATGCATGCTCTTTGTTCCAAGACGGTGTGTGACCACTCTGTGAACTCAGCTTCTTTGGTTCCCTTCCTTCCTTGGGGAAGGAAGCCTCTGGGCTACACTAGTCCTCAGATCTGGTTCAGAATAAACTCACCCTAATTTCATTTATAGATTGGTTATGGATTATTTTTATCCACATTTCTTGGTGTAGTCATGGCAGGATTTTAGAGAAACCCACCAGAGACTACCTGGAATGTACACTGAACCAGCATTTGGTACCAATAGGGGCCCATTGAACCCCCCGGCTCACTGCATTCTTCAGGTGACCCTGGCAAGTTCTGAAACCTTGATCTCTTATTTTTTTAAACTTTTTTTTTTTTTAAAGATTTTATTTTTTCCTTTTTCTCCCCAAAGCCCCCCGGTACATAGTTGTGTATTCTTCGTTGTGGGTTCCTCTAGTTGTGGCATGTGGGACGCTGCCTCAGCGTGGTCTGACGAGCAGTGCCATGTCCGCGCCCAGGATTCGAACCGACGAAACACTGGGCCGCCTGCAGCGGAGCGCGCGAACTTAACCACTCGGCCACGGGGCCAGCCCCCCTTGATCTCTTATTTTAAGTTGATGGTCCAAGAGTTTGTAAGAGCTGTTTCAAAGCTTAAGCCTCGGTGTCTTAAGGGGGTACTGTACATACCCTCGGTAAGAGGAACCTAGGGGGAATTCCTAGGCCAGGGGAGCCTAGAAGGAACTTTGGAGTGGGTGGGGCAGGCTGACATTTTAATTTGGCTTTAAATTGTAAAGAATTGTGTTTATAAAGTCTGAACAAACTGCTTGATAGAGAAATGAGAGGCTGAACGTGTTCAGCTCTGAAGAAGAGGGGCACTGCTCCTTCTGGCCAAAAGACCTTCTCAGGGGACTGAGCACTTCACGGGGAGTGTCAGAGGATCAATAATTGTGATCTGTAGCAGTCCCATAGGGAACTCAACCATCATTCACATTAATTAATTACGACTCGTCTGGGGAAGCTCACGTAGTGTTGATCACCTGCACTCTGAGCCCCCACAGCAGTTTTAGACTGCCAGTGGGAGAAACCGAGGCACGTAAGAGAGTGTTCACAATCTTTCTTTAGGAAGTAACACTCACAAGCAGCACACTTCTGACCCATTGCACTGTCCCTAGGAATTTTTCCTACTTTGTAGCAAAATAAAATTAAAAGGAAAGTGGGAAATCGAGCTTCTAAAAAAGCCTGACCAGTTCCTGAATGAACAGCCTCTCCTCTGAACTCTGGCTGGCTTCATGCTGTGACCTGCAAGTCCTTAACAAGAGGGGAATATTGCTGTCCCAGATTCCTAAGACTGAAAGAAAGATTTTCTAAGAAAAATCTTTGTTGTATCTGTCAGTTGTTTATGTGCATGTCTATATATCTATGTTACAAAGGTATGGCATTTTACCTCTGGATGGTATAATTTCTAAAGAGCTTTATTCAAATAACTTAGAGTAAGTGCTTACAAAGACTTTTCTAAATGCAGCTAACTCAAATGCCTTTCAAGTTAACATGAGATGAAATAATCTTCGGTAATAAAATCTTGTTTAAGTTTGCTGGTTTGATTAAAACAGGCATGTCCTCTGAGTTCTCAGCGTTGGATACGATGCGGACGTGCGGCCTTTATTCTGCGTTTGTTGGTCAGATAAGCTGATGTTCTCTCTACCACAAAACTGGTTAACAAAAGTAATAACTTAAAATGATGGCTGATTTTGCCTAATGTCTCATGAAGTCTTGTAGGCAATCTACATAACTATTGGAAACAAGTAATTAGATAGATGTGAACAAGGTGAGTGTTGTGTGAACTTTTAACAATAATTGTGTGATATGCTGTATGTACTTAGAATAGCTTCCAAAATCTCTTTGGTAACTTCAAACCTTGAAATTTTGCTAGGTTAATTTAAATGATAAAAATTCATTGAATATCTAGGTCATCTCTAAATAAGATAAAATATTAGACATTAATTATTAAATATAAGTTTATCTGCTCTTGGCTTCTTATCACAGAAAAACTAAAAGGTTTTTAAGCGTATTAGTTAACATGTCTTATATTTTGTTAAAAGATTGTGTTATGAAGTAAAATGCTTTTAGAAATTATAAAAGGTATTTGTAAATTTTCCAATCCACAAAATGCTAACATAAAACAATTTGTAATTACTTACTTAGTTTTCATTAAAAATTAAGGTTTCTAAGGGTTAAAAAAATTCTAATATGTCATTAAGCCTACCAATAATTAAGGAAAATACATTTGTATTCAAGGAAACATGGATGTTTTCAGGAAAAAAAGTATAAAGAATGGAAATATTTTGTTTGTTTGGTTAAGAAAGATAAATTTGTCCAAAGTTCTAGAAGGGAGGAAAAAAGGAAAGGCATGGGACAAATTCTGAATGTAAAAGAGAGCGGCAGAACGTTGGCGAAAGTAAAACCCTGAGGGGTTTTATACGTGGTCAAGTTGGCAAAGATCGAAATGAATCTAAAGAAGTAAATGGGTTTGAATATAAAAAGTAAGCTGGTACAAAAATTATAATTTGACTTTCTCTCTTAAAAAGGGATAATTTTCTTAAACTCTTAGCCTACTTTTGATAAAGAGGTTATAAAAGGTTTTTCTTTATTTTTGAGTAAGTTTACCTAAAAGACAGAAGATCTATGTTTCGTTAAAAGAATTTCCTATGTTCAAAAAGACTGAGGTCTCTCTATCAAGGTACCAGCCCCCCATAATTCATATCCTAAATGAAGTCTTTATTTTGACCTTCTTCTTTGAGAATTTTCAGAGGGCCCCTGGGACTTCTCAAAGAAATTTGTTCTCTCTTCCCATAAAGGAGGGATAATAATTAGGCTTGTTGGTTATGCTAAATTGCATGGGAAGCACTGGCAAGTAAATGATGATAAACCTTCTTAGGTTATATTGTGCAGGTAAATAGCATTCACTATTTTAACCCTGCTACCATGCTTCCAACATCACAAGGGGAAAAGACCACGACTGAATTCTAGTATTTAATTTGGTTTACAGATAGGTCTTACTTAAATGATAAGCAAGGATGTTATCAAGCTGGATATGCTGCCCAGCCTCAAGAATGCCTGCTACTTTCTTTTACCTCTGCTAATCCAGTAAAAGATTTCCTTCTATATGTTCAATAAATTGCCATGGAAGAAGAGAAAGAGATATGGCAGTCAAAAGCGGGAATTTTTGACACCCCCTCACAGGTGTGGTTCAGGCCCAATAAGAAACCCATAGTACCTATTGGAGCACAATTGCAACTTCTCCAGTATATACACCGATTAACCCATTGGGCACCTAAAAAGATATTTTAGGGGGAAAACAACGCTTTTGGAAACTTTCTCCCACAGTGGCTCATAAAGCCTATACTTGTGCTATATGCCCAAAGTATACTCTAGGGAAATTATTTCATGAGTCACAAGGCCGCTTTCCCCTTCCTAAGGGACTCTTTGGGCTAAGTCTAAGGGACTTTGTCCAAATGCCATCATCTCAAGGATATAAATATATTTTATAATAATCTGTATGTTCTCATGTTGTATTGAGGGCTTTCCTTCAGAAGAGCAATGGTCTTAGGTAAATTATTTTTGAAAAGGATAATTCCTGTTTGACGCATTCCTACCGAGTTACACAGTGACTGGGGAACTCATTAAATCTATTTTTTTTTTTTTGAGGAAGATTAGATCTGAGCTAGCATCAACTGCCAAACACAGCGAGGAGGCCCGCATGGCTGGAGCAGAGTGAGAGAGGGGTAGAAAGCAAGGAGGGAGGTCCAGGGGAGGACGGGGCAGATCTCAGAGGACCTTACAGGTTTGGGAAGGACTTTTGCTATTATTTTAAGCTGCTGGAAAGCCACTGAAGGGATTTAAGCAAGGGAATGCCATAATTTGACTTGAACAGGCTAAAAATGTATACGTACTTGGTATACTTATACCATATATCTATAATTTTATTATATGTTAGTGGGGCATACCCATGACATATATCAATAGGACAGTGTTATGGGCTGCATTGTATCCCCCCGTAAATTCGTATGTTGAAGTCCTAACCCCCCAGGACTTCAGAGTGTGACTGTTTGGAGACAGGGCCTTTAAAGAGGTGATTAAGTTAAAGAGGCCGTTAGGATGCGCCCTAATCCGTAACTGGAGCCCTTATAAGAAGAAGATATTTGGGCACACAAAGAGGAGGCACACCCCCAGAGGAAAGACCACGTGAAGACACAGCGAGAGGGTGGCCGCCTGTGAGTCAGGAGAGAGGCCTCAGGAGAAACCAGCCCTGCCGACACCTGGATCTCTGACCTCCAGCCTCCAGGAGACAATAAATTTCTCTTGTTTAAGCCCCTCAGTCTGGCACCTTGTTACAGCAGCCTTAGCAATCTATGCATACATATGTATGCATATATACGTCTTATATGTTACGAACATAATCCCATGTCAGTAAGCATTCATTATTCTTTGTAGCTGCCAAGAAGTCCACATGGCAAAGAGGCCACACACAGTGAGCAGCTGAGAGGGTGGGGGCAGGAACTAGTTTCTAGAATCAAATCCTGGTTTTGCCGCTCGCTAGCTGCACAGCTCATCCCCTTGGAACAGACCCCTCTGCGGGTTTCTCTAACCAGGTTCTCTGGCCTTGGCTGAGGGGTCAGAAGTGGAGATTCCCTTCTGTTTCTGACCTCATGGCAGTTTCCATTCCTCAGAAGGAAACGGCAGTGGGTGGTCGGAAAACAGGTGATAAACCACCTGTTCCGATGGTGAGACATCACTCAGTTTTGAGCTGAAATATTCTGGTGTAGGAGCAAAATCGCAAGCAGGGAAGAGTGGCCGGAGAGGTCTCCAAGGCTGGTGTCTGCGCTTGGGTTTATCCTCTGAGGTGTTTCCCCGGAGGGGCTCACGTGAGGGTAAGTCTCGGGTTCCCTAGGACTGACCCAGTTCACACCTGGTGTCCCGGTGTAGTTTATTTATTATTATTAATTTATTTATTTTTAAGTATACTTTAAAGGATTTATTTATTTTATTGAGGTATAACGTCATAAACCAATGTTACCAGTGTAATTTAATAGCATCCCCTTCCAATCTTAAAATTATCGCCATTTGGAGATAAATGACAAGGTCGCTGTAGACCAGCGGCTCTCAACTTGGGGCGATTCTGTCCCCCCAGGGGACCTGGGGCAACATCTGGAGGTGTTTTTGTCTGTTGTAAGCAGGAGATTGCTACTGGTGTCCAGTGGATAAATGCCAGGGGTGCTGCTCAGCATGCTACAGGGCACAGGGTGGCCCCAAAGCAAAGAATGTCCTGGCCCTATTCACAACCTGAAGGACAGAGAAACGTCCCTCTATGAGCTTGTCATGAGCCCGCCAATGGGTTCTTTTCTCTCATCGGGAATGTCGAGGCCTTAATCTAAATGTGGATTTAATTCAATGAACATTGGCCGCTGTTCTCCAGGTACTGTGCCCATAATGGTGTCTATAGAGAGAAGGAATTCAGGGTTTCCACCCTTAAGGGGATTCCAGTCTGCTGGGAGAGACAGGGACATGTTGGTCAATAGAAACAACACTACACCTTAGATGCCAGGATAAGGTAGGTTCAAGATGCTGAGGGAGCACAGAGGAGGCAGGGCCTGACTGGAAATCTGTTGGAAGCAGGCACTCCTGGGAGGCAGCATGGAGGAGGTGACAGTTGAGTCGTGTTGAACAAAGAGTAAAGTTCACCCAGAGGAGTGGTGGTTGGCATTCCGGTAGAGGAACAGCGCAAGAAAATGGCCAGATGTGAGGCCCAGGGCCTGTTAGGGTGGTGACTAGTCTGCTGCTGGGCGTCTATGCTGGAGGGGCCTTGAGCACATGTAACCACATGATGATGCCCGTCACTCACTTATATGATTCGGCAGAGACAGTTATTATCATGGGCTGAGCTGTGTCCTCCCTGATTCACATCTTGAAACCCTCACCCCCGGTTTCTCAGAACGTGACCAGGGAGCACACTGCGCTGCAGACATTTTTGTTTGGCCTGCACTGTGAAGACTTGCACACTCTCTGCAAATTGTGAGCAACAGGGGAAGTGTGAAACCGTGTGGTTGGAGGTTAGCTTTCATCCTCCGCCTGGCCCGTCCTCAACCGGAGGCACATTCAAGCTCTTATCTTCTCGGCGGTGGGGAGAGGGGGATGGGAAATAACCGCCTCATGAGACTTTCTGAGTTCAGCTCTTGACTCTGGGGCTTTGAGTGACAGTCCAGACCAGCTGTACCCCACATGTAACATGATTGGATTTTAAGACCCCATTGATCATGCCAGAGCCGTTATAGCTATATGGCAGTTATAGTGAAAGTATTTTGTGAAGTTTAAAAATTGGAGGCATTCATGCAAACAACCCAAGTTTTGGTGTCTCTTGGAGGATCAGGAGGTCTGGCAACACGGGGACAATTCATAGTAACAATCCATTCCTTTCTATGGGCTATGTAGCGGATACTGCAGGCTCCCTGACTTTACCCTCTTGGCATTCCTTGTTTCTTCATTTGCCTGTGGACGAATTCTACTGCAAGCAGCTGTGACTCTGCCTGGGGGCTTTCCCCAGAGCGAGTGTGTGTGGTCTGTACACGGGACTGACTGGAAGGGCCCCGGACCCTCGATGGATCAGAGCAGGCATCCCCCTCCTTGAACGGGATGACGGGTGAGACTGAGCCCGTTCCCACCAGTAGAAACTTGCTCCCTAACCTCACAATTCCTGTCCTGCTGCCTCCTGTTCCCTGTCTCACTGCCTGTCTCCCCTGCTGGGGTGGTTAATTTTACACGTCAACGTGGCGACCCCGCGATGCCCAGATATTTGGTCAAACACCAGTCTGGATGTTGCTGTGAAGGGTTTTTTTTAGGTGCGATTAGCATTTAGATCAGTAGACTTTGAGTCATGCAGATTATCTTCCCCCAGATAATGGGGGTGGGCTTCTTGCAATCAGTGGAAAGTCTTAAGAAAAAGACTGACTTCCTCCAAGGAAGAGATTACCTTCAGACTCGAGCTGAGACATCAGCTCCTCCCTGGGGTCTCCAGCCTGCTGGCCAGAGTTTAGACTTGCCACCCTCCACAATCGCATGAGTTACTTCCTCAGAATGTCTGTCTCTCTCTCCACACACATCCTATTGGTTCTGCTTCTCTGGAGAATCCTGACTAATATGGCTACTGCTGCGTCCTGTGGTCAACCTCCAAATAAACTCCTCGTACTTGAACTCCTTATGCACTTGTCCCAGGGGCTGCTTCTGTGTGAACCCAAACTGCAGCCTGGACAGCACAGCCCTGGGTGGCAAAGAAGTGTCTTCCGAGCCAGAGAACAGAAAGCCTCCACTTGAGGAAGATGTCTCTCTCTCTCTCTCTCTTTTTTTTTAAAGACTCAAGTGACACAGTCTTAGGGTAACAGACCCATTTGGGGGGAGCCTATTCGGGGTGTTTCCTCACGGCTCACAGTGACATCTTAGGGGTTCTGAATGCAGCTGCCACACGTACCTTGTATGTTTCCCTGGACAACGTCAGCGCAGAGGATGTCCACTGAGTTCTTTTGTGCGTTCAAGGTGAAGACCTTTCTTTCCTCGGAGCAATTGTCTGTGACAACTCGAGTTTCAACAGCTGATAAGAAAAGCAATGGGCAAGCTTACTGTTATTATGAGGTTTAAAAATGTACGTAGCTCCAAGAACAGCTCTGAGCTGAATAAAAAGCAGAGCAAACAGCATTTCTGGAGGCCAACATAGTCATGTGTATTAAAAATCTATAAAATGTTTTTTTCCCCTTGACCTAATGACTCCTCTTCAATGAATTTATCCTAATAAAATATTGAACAAGTACACACAGATACATTTTCAATGGTCTTTATCACAGAGTTGTTTGGTGAAAACGCACATTTCTCAGAAGAGGGAAATAAATAAATTACAGCACACCCATGCAATGCAATGCTGTAAACCACAGAAGACAATAACATAGGTGATGGTGATGTAGACAGTAACACAGGTGATGATGTAGACAGTAACACAGGCGATGATGGTGTAGACAGTAACACAGGTGATGATGTAGACAGTAACACAGGCGATGATGGTGTAGACAGTAACACAGGTGATGATGTAGACAGTAACACAGGCAATGATGGTGTAGACAGTAACACAGGTGATGACATAGACAGTAACACAGGTGATGGTGTAGACAGTAACACAGGTGATGATGTAGACAGTAACACAGACGATGATGGTGTAGACAGTAACACAGGTGATGATGTAGACAGTAACACAGGCGATGATGGTGTAGACAGTAACACAGACGATGATGTAGACAGTAACACAGACGATGATGTAGACAGTAACACAGGCGATGATGTAGACAGTAACACAGGTGATGATGTAGACAGTAACACAGACGATGATGTAGACAGTAACACAGACGATGATGTAGACAGTAACACAGGTGATGATGATGTAGACAGTAACACAGACGATGATGATGTAGACAGTAACACAGACAATGATGTAGACAGTAACACAGGTGATGATGTAGACAGTAACACAGGCGATGATGTAGACAGTAACACAGGTGATGATGATGTAGACAGTAACACAGACGATGATGATGTAGACAGTAACACAGACAATGATGTAGACAGTAACACAGACGATGATGTAGACAGTAACACAGACGATGATGATGTAGACAGTAACACAGACAATGATGTAGACAGTAACACAGGTGATGATGTAGACAGTAACACAGGTGATGATGATGTAGACAGTAACACAGACGATGATGTAGACAGTAACACAGACAATGATGTAGACAGTAACACAGGTGATGATGTAGACAGTAACACAGATGATGATGTAGACAGTAACACAGGTGATGATGATGTAGACAGTAACACAGGTGATGATGTAGACAGTAACACAGGTGATGATGTAGACAGTAACACAGGCGATGATGATGTAGACAATTTACATGGAGAGCGGTTCAGAAGCAGGTTGCGGAACTGCATGTAAAATACACACAGCAGAGATGTGCCCCTTCATCAGACACGCGCCCACAGAGGTATAGGATTGGAAGACTGGATGTGGGCAGATGTGGCTGGTCTAAATTTAGTTTTGTTTACGTTTTTTTCTAATGTTTAAAAAAATTAATATTTGGTTTTGCTATGGTATTTTATTTATTTACTGTTATCTCTAAAAATAAAAATTGTATATATTTAAGGTGTGCGGTATGATGACGGCACACTGATACATGGTGAAATGATTACCACGGTCAAGATAATTAACGTATTATCTCCTCACATGGTTAAGTAATGAATATGTATGACAAGTGTAATGAAAGTACTTTTATTTTCAAATATATAGGAAGACTTTCCTTGCAGGGTGGCTGAAATAGCTCCACTGTGACATGTGCTTAAGTTATGAAGTCACTGGATTAAAAAAAACAAAAAAACTACCTTTAATCCAGAATCCCAGACCCAGGATTGGAAACTGTTGATGGTTTTTAACAGCTCTGTGGCGGTGTAACTGATGGGCAAGAAGCCGCACACGTGAAAGTATGTGATCTGATGGGTCGTAGGGGTGACACCAGCACCGCAGTGGAGCTGGCGAACGTTTCCATCCCCCACAGTCTCCTAACATTTTCTCATCCCCTTTTTCCGCCCTCCCCGATTCCTCCATCGCTATAGACTAGTTTGCATTTTGTAGAGTTTTATACAGGCAGACCTCATTTTATTGTGCTTCGCAGACACTGTGATTTTTACGCGTTGAAAGTTTGTGGCAGCCCTGTGTTGAGCAAATCTCTTGGCGCCATTTTTCCAACAGCATTTGCTCACTTCGTGTCTCTGTGCCACATTTCGGTAATTTTCACAGTATTTCAAACTTCTGCATTATCATTATATTTGTTATGGCGACCTGTGATCTGTGAACTTTGATGTTACTATTGTAATTGCTTTGGGGCTCCAAAAACAGCACCCAAGTAAGATGGCGAGCTTAGTCAATAAATGTTGTGTGTGTTCTGACTGCCCCATCCCCTGGCAATTCTTCCCTTGTCTCTCTCCCTCTCCTCAGGCCTCCCTACTCCCTGAGACACAATAATATTGAAATTAGGCCAATTAATAACCTACAACGGCCTCTAAGTGTTCAAGTGAAAGGAAGAGTCACACAGCTTTCACTTTAAACCAAAAGCTAGAAGTGACTAAGCTTAGTGACGAAGGCACGTTGAAAGCCAAGATGGGCTGAGAGCGAGGCCAGTTGTGCCAAACAGTTAGCCAAGTTGTGAACGTAAAGGAAAACTTCTTGGAGGAAATGAAAAGCACTGCTCCAGTGAACACAGGGATGATAAGAAAGTGAAACAGCCTTATTGCCGAAATGGAGGAAGTGTTAGTGGGCTGGGTAGAAGATCAAACCGGCCACAACAGTCCTTTAAACCAAAGCCTAATCCAGAGCCAGGCCCTCACTCTCTTCAATTCTGTGAAGACTGAGAGAGCGGAGGAAGCTGCAGAAGAAAAGTTTGAAGCTGGCAGAGCTTGGTTCATGAGGTTTAAGGAAAGAAGCCGCCTCCCTAACATCAAAGTGCACATGAAGCAGCAGGTGCTGATGGAGAAGCTGCTGCAAGTTCTCCAGAAGATCCAGCTGAGATCATCAATGAAGGGGCTGCACCAAACAACAGATCTTCAGTGTAGACAAAACAGCCTTCTATTGGAAGAAGACGTCATCTAGGACTTTCATAGCCAGAGAGAAGTCAATGTCTGGCTTCAAAGCTTCAGAGGACAGGCTGACTCTCTTGTCAGGTGCTCATGCAGCTGGTGACTCTGAGCTGAAGCCAGTGCTCGTTTACCGTCAGAAAATCCCAGGGCCCTTAAGAATTGTGCTAAGTCTACTCTGCCTGTGCTCTACAAATGGAATAACAAAGGCTGCACGACAGCACATGTGTTTACAACATGGTTGGCTGAATATTTTAAGCCCACTGTTGAGACCTACTGCTCAGAAAAAGATTCCCTTCAAAATATCACTGCTCATTGACGGTGCACCTCGTCCCCCAGGAGCCCTGGTGGAGATGTGCAGTGAGATTAACGTTGCCTGCTGACACAGCATCCATTCTGCAGCCCGTGGATCAAGGAGCAATTTTGACTTTCAAGTCTTATGATTAAAGAAATACACTTCATAAGGCTATTCCTGCCTTAGATTGTGATTCCTCTGACAGATCTGGGCAAAGTAAATTGGAAACCTCTGGAAAGGATTCACCTTTCTAGACGCCATCAAGAACACTCGTGATTCAGGGAAGAGGTCAAAATGTCAACATTGATAGGAATTCAGAAGAAGTTGGTTCCAACCCTCATGGATGACTTTGAGGGGTTCAAGACTTCAGTGGAGGAAGGAACTGCAGGTGTGATGGAGACAGCAAGAGAGCTGGAATTAGAGTGGAGCCTGCAGATGTGCCTGGACTGCTGCAGTCTCACGAGAAACCTTTAACAGGTGAGGAGCTGCTTCTACGGATGAGCAAAGAAAGTGGTTTCCTGAGATGGAATCTACTCCTGGTGAAGATGCCGTGAAGCTTATTGAAATGACAACAAAGGATTTAGAATATGACATATACTTAGTTGACAAAGCAGTGGCAGGGTCTGAGAGGGCTGACTCCAATTTTGAAAGAAGTTCTGCTGTGGGTAAAATGCCACCAAACAGCATCACAGGCTACAGAGAAATCGCTCGTGAAAAGATGAGTCAACTGACGTGGCGACTTCATTGCGTCTTATTCTAAGAAGTTGCCCCAGCTGCCCCAGCCTTCTGCAGCCACCGCCCTGACCAGTGAACACCGAGGCGAGACCTCCACCAGCAACAAAGTTGTGACTCACTGAGGACTCAGACGATGGTTGGCATGTTTTAGCAATAAAATATTTTTAAATCAAGGTCTGCACATTTTTCTTAGACATAATGCTGTTGCACACTTAACAGACTACAGTATAGTGTAAACATAACTTTCATGTGCGCTGGCAAACCAAAAAATTCGTGTGACTTCCTTTATTGTGGTGGTTTGGAAACGAACCCACAATATCTCTGAGGCGTGCCTGTATAAATGGACTCACGCAGCGCGTTTACTTATTTTTCTAATTGCTGAATCCAGCCCCAGCCAGAAACCAGCCCCAGGCACCACGCCTTGCTCTCTTCTTACCCACAGTACTAGTTTGACCTCGCTGGTTGTTTTGGTTTGGGGTTTTCAAGGCAGTTTTTAGAACATTCGACTCCGTCTCCTGGAGAATATTTGTGGCCCAGGATGGGACATCTCTCTTCTCTTCCCATAGAGTCTTATTGCTGAGAAGTGATTCGACTTTGTCAACAATCTGTTGCACCTTGGAAGATATAAAGAATTTAAGGAAATCCAACCCAATAGGTCCCACACCCCGAGGGACGGTAGAAAGCACGAGAAAGCAGGTTCTGGAGCCAGAGGACCTAGTTCGAATCCCACCTCCGTAATTCACTGGTTCTACGACCTTGGGAAAGTCACTCAATTGATCAGTGCCTCAGTTTCCTCATCTTAGGATGGGAGCAGTAATAGGAGCCCACAGCCTTTTGGGGAGATTAAATGAGAAAAGAGATGCTGCATTTTTAGAACAGCGTCTGTACCCGGTAAACACCAGGTAAGGGTTAGTTACCAGGAACATCTTTTACCAACAGGGAAGTGGTAAGCTTGCTCAAAACAGACCTGTGGTTTTCACTGGGGAAGATTTTGACCCCGAGGGGACATTTGGAAATGTCTGAGACGTTTATGACTGTCACCACTGAGGGACGCTTCTGGTATCTAATGGGTGGAGGCCAGACGTGGTGCTCAGCACACGATAACGCACAGGACAAGCCCCACAGCAGAGAATGCCAGTCTCGAATATTTTAACGTTATAATATTACACGTTATACAAAGCTGAGAAAGGCTGAAGTAGAGTTATAGATCGAAAGTCACTCTGTGCGGCCTTTGTAAATCAAGAAATTTGTCTGTGAAGGATAGCAAAGAGACGGACCCATGGCCGGAGAATAATGAAAGGCCAGGGGAAGTTGAAAAATGGTCATCCAGGGGGCTGGCCCGTGGCCGAGGGGTTAAGTTCGTGCGCTCCGCTGCAGGCAGCCCAGTGTTTCGTTGGTTTGAATCCTGCGTGCGGACATGGCACTGCTCATCAAACCACGCTGAGGCAGCATCCCACATGCCACAACTAGAAGGACCCACAACCAAGAATATACAACTATGTACCTGGGGGCTTTGGGGAGAAAAAGGAAAAAAAAAAAAAGGGTAGTCCAGGTTCTTTGAAAGACCATTTCTGTGCGGACGCCCACGTCCTGGTGCTCTGAGGTGGCTCGTGGACCCGCAATAGGGCCGTTAGGAAGGTAGGCTCCTGGCGCCCTGAAGCCCAATCTGCATTAGCCCTGGCCCCGGGGGGCTCGTGGGCACATTGAAGCACCAGACAGGACGTCTCGTCAGGATGGCGACTTTGGCTTGTTCACAGCTGCTTCCCAGCACCTGGAACGGTCCTTGGCAAGTAGTTAGTGCTCAGTGAGCGTCCCCGGGCTGAACGAATGCTCCTAAACAGAAAATGCTATCACACCAGCGTGTTACAAGTGGCTCTTAAAGAGCCCTGGAGGGACGTTCAGGACCAGGGTTCAAACAGACATTTTCAGTGTTCTTCTCACTCAACCTAATGAGTCTTTGTGGAAATTCTGAGCTGCGGTTTCTAGTTTGGGAGCCCCCTCCTACCCTGCTTGCCTGACGTAGAAAATTTCTCTCTCCTCCAAATGACCACTGAAATCGTTTTGGTTTTAAACCCATATGTACAGAGTAGACACCACAGTATTTGCCATTCAGAATTGTTATCGTGGTGTCGGATCCAGCATGATGACTTTGCACCTATCTTTTTCCAGCAATGCATTTTTTTATTGGGGTGAAATCCACACAACATAAAATTCATTTCTTTTTCTTTCTTCTTTTTTTTTTTCCCCAAAGCCCCCCAGTACATAGTTGTATGTTCTAGTTGTGGGTCCTTCTAGTTGTGGCATGTGGGACGCCGCCTCAGCCTGGCCTGATGAGTGGTGCTATGTCCACACCCAGGATCCGAACTGGCAAAACCCTGGGCTCCCGAAATGGGGCATGCAGACTTAACCATGGGCCATGGGGCAGCCCCCAAAATTCACTTTTTTAAAGTGTACCATTCAGTGGCAAATTAGTATATTCATGATGTGCAACCATAACCTCTGTGTAGTTCCAAAGTATCTTTATCACTGCAAAATAAAACTTCCTACCCATTAATCAATTACTCTCCATTTTTCTCCCCCCAAGTGGCTGACGCCCGCTAAACTGCATCGGTCTCTCTGGACCTGCCTGTTCTGGACATTTCCTATCAGTGGAATCACACATTCTGTGACTTTTTGTGTCTCTCTTCTTTCACTGAGCATCACGTTTTCAAGGCTCATCCCTATTGTTGTATGAATCAGGACTTTATTCATTTTTATGGCTGAATAATATGCCACTGGATGCCTAGACCACATTTTGTTTATCCATTCATCTGTGGTGGACATATGGGCTGTTTTTCCCGTTTGGTAGTTGTGAATAGTGCTGCTACAAACACAGGTGTGCAGGTACCTGAGTCCCTGTCCTCGGTTCTCTTGGTTGTGTTCCTAGGAGTGGAATTTCTGGGTCATATGGCAATTCTATTTTTAACTTTTTGAGGAAACTGGCAATGAAATTTTATAATGAAACATTCCTGTCGATCACATGATTATTTGTTCATTACTTCAGTGAACACTTGTTGAGCTCCCCGTGTGGGCCTGGTCTGATTCCTGCCCTCAAGAAGTGCACGTCTATGGGGCGATGACACATCACATAGATATTGTCAGTCTGCCAGAGGACATTGTGGATGGGGGCGTGCTCTGGACCAGGCACCGTGCTAAGTGCTCCACATATGTTATTGCATCTGAGCTTCCATCCACCCAAGGAGGGAGGTGCCATCATCACCCCCATCTTACACACGCGTAATCAGTCTTGGAAAGTGTGATGGTTAATTTTGTGTGTCAACGTGACTGGGTCATGGGGTGCCCAGATAGTCGGTCAAGCATCATTCCAGGTGTGTCTGTGAGGGTGTTTTCTGGATGAGATTAACATTTGAATGGGCAGATGGGGTCACGCAGACTGCCCGCCCTGATGTGGGTGGGCCTCCTCCAGTCGCTGGGGGCCTGAGTAGAACCATAAATCTCAGTGAGAGGGGATTTCTCCTGCCTGACTCCCTGACTCCCTGGAACTGGTTTTTTCCTTTAGACTTGAACTGAAACATCAGCTCTGGCTGGGTCTCCGGCCTCTGGATGCAAGCTGGAACCACACTATTGGGTCACCAGCTCGCCACCCGCAGATCTTGGGACCCGTCAGCCTCCCTAATCACCTGAGCCAATTCCTTACAAGAGATCTGTTTGTATCTGCACCTGTCCCTCCTGCTAGTTCTGTCTCTCCGGAGAACTCTGGCGAATACAGAGAGGTTGTCATTTTACCCTGTCTCTTGCCCCTGTGGGGCCAGGATCCGAGCCCATCTACACTTCTAGCCTCCACATCCTCCCACCACAGGGACGTGATATTAACTCAGAGGGAGGCGGTTTAGGGAGGCCATCCAGGAGGACGTGCCGCCTGAATTGAGTCTTGAGCAAAGAAGACTGGAGGAAGCCAGCCAGGTGAGGGATCGGGAAAAGAAGGTCAGGTGGAGAGAGCAGTACGTACCCGGAGGCCTGGAGCTCGGGAGGTCAAGGCGTGAGCAATCCCTCTGGAGTGGGGCAGGGTGAGGGTGGGGAGTGAGGGGAGGACGGATGAGCTCATTCTGCTGGTCTGCACGTTCTCAGAGACACGGATCATTTTTTTAATTAAAATTCAGAGTTGGTATGGACACTCAGTGATTACTACCCAGCAGGCACTATCTCAGCGTCTCTCTCTTTTAACTGTCCTATGATATCCATTTCCCCCTCTTCCTTTGAATAATTGAATGAATTCCTCAACATCTATCCAGGTCATGCTGCCCAGCTACAGACCATGTTGTCCCAGCCTCCCCTGCCGCTAGGTTTGGCCATGACATGTGCAACTTCTGGGCTGTCACTTTATGACATGTCTCCAAGGAAATTATCACAGTCTTACTAGCCTATCACATAGTGAGTACATGCATCTCTTCTCTCCTCTCTCCCCTCTTCACCCTGCACTCGAGACCACTTGCCCTGAACTCCTTCTCCTCTCTCCCCACTGGTACGAATGCAACATTGCAGCAAACCAGCTTTGACTGCAGTTGAGGACAAGATGCCAGGGGGTGGTGGAGCCACAGCATGGAAAGAACATGGGGCCTTTAATGGCCTCATGGAGTGGGATCCCTTTGCCAGCCTGGACTGCTCGCCTCTGGACTGTTAATTCAGAAAGTAATAAAGTCCATCTTTACAAAGCCATTGGATATGTGGGTCTTTTTCTTCCAGAAGCTCAGCCTTCCTTGATACAGTCTTGCTTAGTCTGTCTTTCTTGGCCTGGGACAGATCCTGACTTTAGGTGGCAGAACACACATGTGGGAACACACACACCCGTATGTGGAAACACTGTATCTATCTTTCTCTATGTGAGATATATGATGATACACATATAGCGATAAACATAGTCATGGATATGTATGCATCACAGGTATATGTAAAACATAACATTATAGGGGCCAGCCTGGTGGTGCAGCGGTTAAGTGAGCACGTTCTGCTTTGGTGGCCCAGGGTTCACCAGTTCGGATCCCAGGTGTGGACATGGCAGTGCTTGACAAGCCATGCTGTGGTGGGCATCCCACATATAAAGTAGAGGAAGATGGGCACGGATGTTAGCTCAGGGCCAGTCTTCCTCAGCAAAAAGAGGAAAATTGGCAGCAGTTAGCTCAGGGCTAATCTTCCTCAAAAAAAAAAAAATTCTAACACTGTGATATTATATTATAATTAACATACAATGTATTAAAATATATCGTACTGTTACATAATATGTGATATATCACATATATGACACCACATATATGATATATGAACATATAATATATAGTACCCATGTAACATATAGTATCTACCCCTACCTGCTAATTTGGGCTTTGCAAACATTTGTTACCTGGCTGGGTTCCAGAGCTCAGCTTCCACTCACCTCTTTCCTGTACGTGGTGGTTGCTGCGGTGGTGGTTGCTGTGGTGGTGGTCGCTGTGGTTGTGGTCGCTGTGGTGGTGGTTGCTGCGGTGGTGGTCGCTGCGGTGGTGGTCGCTGCGGTGGTGGTCGCTGTGGTTGTGGTTGCTGCGGTGGTGGTCGCTGTGGTGGTGGTTGCTGCGGTGGTGGTCGCTGCGGTGGTGGTCGCTGCAAAAGATATTGCGGGAGGTTACTGTCAGAACCGAGGGAGAGGGAGGAGAGGCGGGCGTGCGAGCGGGTGACTGCGTCTGGAGGGTCTGAACTCTTCGTGTTTACTGACGGGTTGCTCGCTCTTTTCGGGGATCAGAACCTGAGTTCCCTGTCATGGTGTGGAGCGGCATTTTTCGACTGGGGGTGATTTTGCCCCCAGAGGACATTGGTAATGGCTGGAGACACTTTTGGTGGTGACAGCTTGGGGTGGGGACGTGGGTGGCATCTAGTGGGTGGAGGCCTGGGGTACTGTCAACACCCTACAATGCATGACCACAAGACTGATCAGACCCCAGATGTCAGCGTTGCCGCGGTGGAGATACCTGGCACAGAGGCAGCAGAAAAGGGTGAGCTCCAAATTTTTAAATTTGGTCTTGGGTGGACATTAAAACTGAAATGGCCGAGGAAACAGAAAATTAGATGCCTCAGATTTTTAAGTTCAGCCTGGCTGAGAACGACAAGTGAAACAGGAGGGTCAGTTTTGGGTTATCAGCTGTGAATGAGACCTTTGTGTGTCGCTTCTCATGCTTCACCATCAGGTTGAGGCTAAATCTGTACCTCCTGTATCTCGGTTTTCAGCTGAGTCTATTTACTAAAAAGGACAAAGGGCTTTCTTGTAATATTGAGGGTTTTGCCTTAAGAGTTCAAGCACTTTGACCTACAACCCTGAGTCTAGAATATGTCTGTTATTGGAAACCACATTCATTGTAGAAATTGCACTTTTGGCTGAAAGCTGCACGCTTTCCCACAGGGGCTTTGTTGGACCTACCAAACCTGGTGATAACTAACCCCAGATGGATTCAATCCATATAACAGGGCTGTGAGGAGCTCTTAAAATTAGCAAAATAATCAAGGGCATTTTTCTGCCTTGTAAAATAAAGTGAGTTTAACAGACGCATCAGAAGCCAGGTACAATCTCAGTCTGTGGGTACATTGTCAAGAGAAGTGTCAGTCAGCTGTCAATGTGCCCTCAGATCCTACTTTTTCCATGCTCTGTTCCATTACATGGACAACTCCACCTGCCAGGGTCCCTTGCCTGGTGGCTTCCTGGCAGGTTCAGCCAGTGGGAGATGCTGGTGGAACGTGGGAGCAGAGGAAAGGAGGAGCCAGGGTGTTTCTCCCCCCTTTCTCTACCTCTTGTGGCATCTCCAGCTTTGGCTGTCTCTCTTCCAAGTTCCCAACTCTGATTAGACGGACGCAGCTCTTAAGCCCTGGTAGTATCACTTCCTCCCCTGCCCCTCTGGGTGCAGAACGGCTGCAGATTTCTGCTGTTGCTAATCTCTGGGTTGCCTCACGATCCCTCTTTTGACTTCTCAGCTCTTCCCTCACCAGTACCTACTCTCGATATGGAATTCCTGATGTTTGAAAGATGTGGTGTGTCTTATATTTTCCAGACTGGATCTTGACTTATAAAGAGGGATAACTTATTTTTTTGCACCAGAATAAGAGTGCTTTGTCCCTTTTATGCCTTCTCTGAGTCCCACGTTGCAGCATAGCGAGTGGCTAAGAGTGTGGACTCTCAGTGTAAGCTGACCCAAGTTAAAAACCTGCTTATTAGCTGGCTGACCTTGGGCAAGTTACTTAACTTTTGGACATCTCAATTTCTTTATCTGCAATAACAGTGCTTACCTCACATGGTTATGGTAAATGTAAATCACTTATGGAGTACCTGGCACATAGCACAAGCGAAACAAATACTAGCTATTAGTATTATTGTTTCTCCACCAACAGCATCCTAGGATTTAGCTTTAAAGACTCTCTCTCTTCTGATATCAACTGTAGCCAGCACCTCATGGATAGCCTGCCTAGTCCCACATTCCTTGTGTGTAGACTTGCCCCATCTATACGGTTTCCACGAGACTGGTCATTCTTATACAACATAGCGCCTCCCCCTCAACACAGATCCAAAGGTAGGCACATGACTCAAACTGGGCAATTTTGTACATTTCCAAAAAAAAATTTGCAATTAGGTTCAAAAGAGAGACAATTGATCTCTCTTTGGGTGGTTGGGTCAATAACGACGGTAAGATTTGGAGCTGTTGGTGGCCGTATTTCTGGTCCTGTGGACTAGGGAGCAGAGAAAACCACTTTGCAAGGAAAGTGGAGAAAGGAGCAGGCCCAGAGAACATCAGAGACTGGAGCGCTCCGATAGCGTTGACTCTCCAGTTTCAGTTCATGCCAGAAGCCCCGCTGTATTCTTGTCCTTGAGTTCCAAGACATATCCATGCATCCTTATCATAAACTCATCTTTTCGGCTTGTGTTAGCCTGAGCGGGTTTTTCTTCTTTGCCATCCAGAGACTCTAGTCTAGTGACTACCCCATCATCTCTGTCTCCAAAGCCCACTTGCCTTCTTCACCCCGTTATTTCTATGAACTTCCCTCTTTCTTTTTTTCTCCTCTTTCCAGCATCCATTTACCTCCAGAAAATACAAACACATCCTGGCCCCACTACAGAAAGTATCTTTTCTGGTGTTGGACTCAATGAAAAATGAGGGGCACAAGAAGACAAGAATTTTCTTACTCTGACAAGTGTTCTCATTAGAATTGTTGAATCGTGTCCCCCCAGAGAGGAGTTCATATCCAGAGTCACAGTGACAGTCGAAACTTCCTATGACATTCCGACACTTAGCGTTTGCTCCACAATATCTACTATAGGGTGGTTCACATTCGTCAATATCTGGAACACAAAGGAGAAATTTGGCCATTCATTTGACAAAGATTTACTGAGCATCTCATATGTGCCAGAGGCTGTACCCTTCCCGCCAGGGTCTATCCTGGCTTTCCAAGACAACTCCATTAAGGCAATGGTTGTCTTCATTCTTTCCTTTCCTCCTTGCCTTTGTTGGGTTCTCCAAGAAGCGGACATTGAGACGAAGATTCAAGTGCAAGTGTTTTACTTGGGAGATGATCCCGGAAAACACGGGAGGGGAAGTGGTTAAACGAGACAGGGAATGGAAGGCAGAAAACAAAGCAAACATTATCAAGTGAGTTTTCCCTGTGGGCACCTGGGGGTCAATTCCTCTGGGAACCTCGAGAGGCAGCGTGAATGCACACTTCAGAGCGGCCCACCTGAGGGGTGAGGGAGCTGGGGTGTCTATCCACCCAACCTCCTCATTTATTGGTGAAGGAATGCTCCCGGGGACTGTTAACCCCCCAGCACTGCCACCTGTCCTGAGCACGGGCTACATAGTCTCAGAGAACGCCTCAGGCTGGGTGTGCAAAGGAATGGCGAATGCTGAGGGCACATAAGTGGGATACTGACCTTGTCTGCGGTTATGGACTGAACATTTGTAGCCTCTCGATTGATATGCTGAAGCCCTAACCCTTCAGTGAGGCTCTATTTGGAGATGGGGACACTAAGGAGGCAACTGAGGTTAAATGAGGTCATAAGAATGAGGCTCTGAGCTGATGGGATTAGTATCCCCACAAGAATGGAGCTCCCCACCGCCCCTGCCACTGCGTGCACACAGCGAGGAAAGCCCGCTTGAAGAGAGAGCGAGATGGCAGGCGTCTACAAGCCAGGGGGAGAGGCCTTGCCGGAAACAACCTGCCAGCACCTTGATCGTGGACTGCCCACCCTCCAGACCGTGAGAAAATAAGCGCCTGTTGTCTAAGCCGCCTAGTCTGCGATATTGGGTGACAGCAGCTGGAGCGGACTAATGCGCCTGCTGAACTAACTAATTTAGCCAGAATGTCTTCATTAAGTCAACATGTCCCCCGTCCTGAGGTCACTGTAGCCCTTTTGCAATGACGTCAAGTAGGTAGTGAAAATGTGTGACTTTCCTGTTTGGTACAGAAAACACGAAATTTGGGATTTTCAGAGTGTGACACAGTCGGCAGACACTGTTGCCCACTCAATAGCCATTCTCCGTTTGGGAGGCCAGATACGGCAACCTTGTTCTCCTTTTTCAGGTGCCCTCTTTCCCAGCCTCCCTTTCCACCAGGGCGGTCATGGGATACTCCCCCAGCCAGTGAAAAGTAAAGACAGTCTTCTGGAGGCTTTTGGGAAAAGCCTTACAAAATGTGAGACAGAAAGAAGTTACAACTCACTTAAAGGAATGAGACTCGAATTGGTATTGGGATCCCTGTCTGCAACCATGTGAGCGTCGGGACAGTTTCTGTGATTCCTGGGGTACGCAGCAACGGATTACTGCGACAAGAGGACTGAACTAAAAACCCCTGCCAAGGCAAGATAGAACCTACTCGCTGGAATGAAAGAAACATGAGATTATGCAATAATTGGGAGAGATATTACCCATGTGCCCAATTTGAAGAAAACATGACAGAAAGCACTCTAGGCAAACAGTTAATTGAGTATGAAATTAGCAAGTCGAGAAACCTCAATTTGGGGGAAGATGAAGGGAAGAGGAAGCAGGGGTGAGCAATGAACCTTGAGATAAAATGAACATTCATGAGGGGATGGGAGGGGCACGGGGAGAGGGGAGGAGTAAAATAAGAGTGTTTTACAGATCTCATGTCTTTACTGGGAGACGGGAAGTAGGGTGAAATGACGCATCTTGGTGGGGAAAATAATTGGTGAGTTTTTAGAATAACAATCGAGAAGCGTGTTTGGTTATAAAATTCAGAAAAGAGAAGGTAACTGCTAACAGGATGGAAAAGTTTAGTAGACCATCTGAATAAACAAAGGGAAAAATTGAATCAACAGCTACTTGATCAAACAAACACAAATACAAAAAGACAAATGAAGAAATGATACTATAAAATTAATTAATGGAAGGTAAGATGAAAGGAGTAACTATCAGTCATTACACTAAATGTAATAGACTAATATACACTAAATATAAACAGAATTCTTCCATTAAATAGATACTAGCGGATCGGGCGTGGCAGTTTTGAAACACGGCCTCCAATTATTTGACGCTCTTTTCACTGAGATGCGGGCTCGTGGCTGCCTTGGTCGACAGACTGCTGCAGAAGTGGCAATGTGGGACACTGAGGCGAGGTCAGACACCTTAGTGTCTGAGCGGGCTCGTGGCTGCCTTGGTCGACAGACTGCTGCAGAAGTGGCAATGTGGGACACTGAGGCGAGGTCAGAGAACCGTGCAACCCTGTCCGGGCCTCCAGGCAGCCTCTCTCTCTGTAAGCTCCGTGCTGGGACGTCCCTCTCAGAACTCAGCCATCAGCTGTGAGAGGTGGAAGCGCCATGGAGGGACCTGAGATAGGAGCCCCAGCTGAGAATTCCAGATGATTCCAGTTTTTGAGTCATCCCAGCCCAGGCACCAGGCACGTGAGTGAAGATGCCTCAGTAGAATTCCAGCCCTCAGCCACTGGAGTCACCACCTGCCGGGTGAGACTTCTGCCCGAGCCTAAGACAGTGTGGGGCAGAGAAGAGCCATCTGCTGTGTCTTGTCTGAATTCCTGGCCCAGAGAATCCAAGAGCACAATAAAATGGTTGTTTTATGTCAACAATTTTGGGGTTTATTATGCAGCAATAGATAACCAGAACATTGTGCTGAAAAATCACACTCAGCTATATGCTGTTTTCAGGAGACTGACAATTTTCAAAATAAAGGGTTGCACAAAAAGATACTAGGAGAATTAAAATAGAAATAAAACAGAATGTGTAATATTAATATCAGATTCAGTGGAATGTAAGGTTCAAAGCTCTAAACAAGGTAAAGTGGGACACTATGTATTAATCCTTAACGCATTTTTTCTTTCTTTCTTTCTTTTTTTTGTTGAGGAAGATTGGCCCTGAGGTAACATCCATGTCCTTCTTCCTCTATTTTATATGTGGGACACCTGCCACAGCATGGCTTGACAAACGGGGCATAGATCCACGCCTGGGATCCAAACCAGTGAACCCCGGGCTACCAAAGTGGAGTGTGTGAACCTGACCACTATGCCATTGGGCTGGCCCCAATACTTAACACATTTTATGAAGGAAATTATATCCTGGTCATAAATATGTATGCGCCAAGCAACATAGATAAATACAGAAAGCAAAAACAAGTAGAAATGCAAGAAGCAAGAACAAATAAAAATACAATTGTACTGGGATATTCAATATACTTCTCTCAGAAATACCAGATAAAAAATAAATAAGGAATTGGATATCACAATCAGTAAGCATGCACAAACAGAGGAAGGACCTAGTAGACAGAAAATAGTTAAGGATATGGAGAAATTGATGAATAAATAAAAGCAATAAATACACATATATAGAGAATCAGAAAGACCGACAAAGACAGATACACACACAGAGGCAGAAAGAGACAGAGATAGAGATGGGAGGAGACAGAGACCTACACAGAGAGAGAATCTTACTTTCCTTGAGTGGAAAATATATATTTTCTTTTATAAAATCAATCCTATGCTTCCACAAACAAACCTCAAATAAAAATGTAAAAAAGTAGAGATTTTCAGCCATTATTAAAAAAATCCCTAATAAGTTTTTTAAAATTAGAAACGATTCTGTCATTATCTAATAGAATTAGGAATTTATAACACAAAAATGAACAATTGTAAGAAACAATTGTTTCTTAGATGTAACATCAAAAGCAAGAAGAATAAAAGAGAAGATAGATACACTGGACTTCATCAAAATTAAAAACTTTTGTGCTTCGAAGAACACTATCAAGAAAGTGAAAAGACAGCCCACAGATAGAAGAAAATATTTGCCAATCAGATATCTGATAAGTGACTAGTATCCAGAGTATATAAAGAACTCCTACAACTCAACAACAAAAATACAGATAACCCAATTAAAAAATGGGTAAATAATTTGATAGACTTTTCTCCAAGGCAGATATACAAATGGCCAATTAGGACAAGAAAAGATTCTCAACATTATTAGTCACTGGGGGAATGCAACTCAAAACTACAATGTAATACCATTTCATACCCGCTAGAATGGCTATAATAAAAAAGACAGACAACAACAAATTTTGGCAAGGATGTGGGGAAATTAGAACTCTCATACATTGCTGGTGGGAATGTAAAATGGTGCAACCACTTTGGAAAACAGTTCTGAAATTTAAAAAAAATTAAACACGGGGTTATCCTATGACTCACCAATTCTACCCCTGCATGTCCACCCCAGAGAACTGAAAATAGTGCTCAAACTAAAACTCGTACATGATGTTTTACGAATAATGTACATAATACTTGTACACAATGTATCATGAATAATGTAGCAGCATTATTCATAATGGCCAAAAAGTGGAAACAACCCAAATGTCCATCACTTGATGAACAGATAACAAAATGTGGTCCATCCACACAATGGAATATTATTCATCCATAAAAAGGAACAAAGTACAGACACACGCTGCAGTGTGGATGAACTTTGAAAACATTATGCTGAGTGAAAGCAGCCAGACACAAAAGGCCACATATTATGTGATTCCATTTATAGGAAATGTCCAGAGTAGGCAAATCCATAGGGATGAAAAGCAGAGTAGACGTTTCCAGGGGCTGGAGTGAGGGGGTAACAGGGAGGGACGGCTAATGGGTATTGGGTTTCTTTTGGGGGTGATGGAATGTTCTGGAATTAGATAGCGGTGATGGTGCATCACTTTGGAATATACTGAAATACACTAAACTCTGCACTTTAGCAGGTGGATTTTGTGGTACATGAATTATATCTCAATAAACAAGGATGCTGGTGGCTTCACGAGATTGGTTCTCAGCTCTGTCTCCAGCCAGTGTCTCCATCACTTGCCAGGCTGTGGACAGACTGATTTCATTTTGTTTTTATTGAACCAACTAGACACCTCCCGATGGGAGGATCTTTGTACTTGTGATTGCCTTTGCCAAGTATGCTCAAATGTCACCCCCATTTTCCACAGAGTAATCTTTTAAAGTGCACACGGTGAGGCCATACTTTGACATTAACCTGTCATAGTAACAGTTGTCAAACTAGAAGTTTCAGCAGTGGCACCAAATGGAATAGACACCACAGTCCAAGTAAGGAACGAGCCAAGACGCAACAGTTGCAGAGGAGGAGGAGTCTGGGATCTGGTCATATGATTCTTTCACTCTCCACTCGCATCAAAGGTTTAGCAGAGTCAGGAACCGGCAGGTAAGAGAGGGGGTTTGCTTGGAGAGAGCGGACGCTGTGCTGTGGTCCCTCCCCTCCCACCCAAGAGGAGAAACGTGTGCAAGTGCTTTCCTCTTGATTTCTCTCCCAGAGAGCAGGATTTTAAGGCGTTCCTTCAGCTAGTTACACCTTCCCCGCATTTTGTGGGGACGCAGTTGATTGATGCCTATTTCCCCGTGAAAAATCTAAAGGGTGCGTCACTGGCTTGCACAGGGGCAAAGAAGAGGTACCTATGCACCTGCACATCCCAAGTTTCTTGGGCAAAAGGTGTGTGAACACTTCCCGAGAACAAGAAGTGGGTCACGTGCGAGAGATTTCTGCTGCGGGGTTGCTCAGGTTCTGGCCTCCTGGAGTGGCAAACGGGCTCTACCACCGAGAAGCTGGAGGAGACGCAGGATTCCTCCGGCATGAGGAAGGTGTGGCGAGGAATTTGCTGTTATCAGGGGAATTTCAGGGGAGTGATTGGCGAGAGGGGCACTGTCTTCAAGAACCGTGGAGGCTCTTGTGACAGGAAGTGCAGCAAGTCAGGAACACAGAAGCTGAGGGTGCATACTTTCCTGCTGCTCTTTCCTCCTCTGCCTACTGGGTTCCAACCCCAGCAAGACTGGGTGAGGAAGAGCAGCGTGTTAGGTGGGGAAAGAGGAGAGAAGCCAATTATACCCCCTACTCCTGATGGCAAGCTTCTAACTAGGAGCGAGCTTGAGCTAGGGGAGGGGAAAACCCGATATTATTAACAGAAATAAAACAGAATGTGTAACATCAATAGCAGACCCAGCAGAATATAAGGTTCAAAGCTCTAAACAAGGTAAAGTGGGATATTACGTATTGATATTTACATCTTATGAAGAAAATTATATCACAGTCATAAATATGTATGCACCAAACAACATAGATAAATACAGAAAGTAAAAATAGTAACTCAACAAAATATTAACTCAAGGCTGCAGTATTTATTCTTGCATAGGATTGGACATTTAAATTACTGAACTGAGACTGCATTTTGCATCTTAGATGACCATAGGGTTTTATATTAGAAGTTTCTGCCCTAGCTTATGTTCTCTCCTTGCCCTAACTTCAGTGCATATTCTTCTCCTTAACTTAAAAAAAATATAATTCAAGAAGTACTGCCACATTTGTTGCCTGACTCAATCCTCCGCCCCCCTCATGAAGTCGGCATCATCACCCGCAGGTTACGGAGGAGGAAACGGAGGAGGAAACGGAGGTTCCGGAGGAGCCCTCTTTTCTGACATCATGAAAGCATTTCTTTCCCGCCGAGGCTGAGTCGGCAGAGGGTTCAGTGTCGCACACTCTTGTGCCCTCGCCTCCCACAGTTTTTGCGCTGCCTCCCGCCTCTCGCACAACTAGGTGATGTGAGAATGGCTGGTTTACCTGTACATGTCCCGGAGGAGGGCTTGAGGTATTCCTGCCCAGATGCAGACGTGTATCCCATTTTGCACCTACAGTGAGTCATGTTGAAATACTCAGAATTCTGGGGGCAGAAATGCGCGGAGCCTGTGGGGTGAAGAGGTAGGTCAGACGTCACTTGGGCCACCCTCACTTTTTCCTTTGTGAGATATCACTGTATTAAAAAATTAGGGATGCCAAGTGCAAGTTGCAGAAATAAGTGGGATTCCTGTGCACGATAAAGGACTGGAGTTGGCATTAAACAAATTAATTTTAACATGAAATTTTGATTCAATATAATTATGCTATTCTCAAGATCATTGCAGAATTTATAAAAGAGGAGTGAGTTGGTTTAGACCTTGGACCCTGGGTTGGATTCTGGCTCCGAGACTTACTAGCTGTGTGTCTTAAGCTCTCTGTGTCTCAATTCTTTCATCTGTAAAATGGGTTACTGTGAGAAGCAAATTAATATAGTAAAGTGCTGTGGGGTGTGCCTGCGCAAAATCAATGTCAGCTATGATTACAAAAATTTGCACCTGTGGGGTACCACAGAAGGTCTATTCTGATAAGGCACATGTTATCTTTGTAACCCTATATGTCACTTCATTTGGACAGGGTTACGCTGAAGATCTTAATCTGAGGCTCCTTGAGAAAGAACGGGAATCATGGATGAACGAAGGGTCCAGTGGAGGGATCTGCACAGTGCCGGGCCTGGTGGAACTGGGACGGGACAGGATGGGGGCACAGTGCGGAGCCTCGGCCCTCAATGCACCCCCCCCAGGCAGCTGCCTGGAAACACAGAGTCTCAGGCCCCGCCCTAGACCTGCCGAATCAGCGTCTAGTGAGATCTCTAAGGGGTTAATCTGAAACAATCTCGTTCGTTCCTTGTTGACTTGCTTATAATCAGAACGAAATGGTTGCCACCGTCCTCTGTCATGCCCCATAGAATATTTGCTTCATGAGACTTTGTTTCACCCACTGTTCTATTTCTGCATCAGGCACATTGTGGTTAGTAAAAGCAAACAAACAGACAAAAGTAAAATAAAAAGATAAATTTAAAGATATCCAAAATTGATGACATGATCAATTAAAATGAATTGGGGAGCGACCCTCCCAGGTTCCAGCCCAGCACAGGCCCATCTCTCTAGCCCGTCACAGACCCGCGTGGTCCTGGCGCCCTCGGTCTGCACCCTCCCTGGTCTCTGGCTGCGGACAGGTCAGGCTTTGAATGCTCACCTGAGATCTGAGCCACGACTGCCGACACGCTCAGCAGAAAGCAGAGTCCTGAAACAGGGAAGCAGAAGAGAGAGACACGAATGACTGAGGAGAGAGTCCAGGGAACTCGCCACGGGCTGTGTGTCAGTTATCTGCTGCTGTGTAACAAACCACTGTAAAAGGTAGGGGCTTAAAATAAAGTTCACTCTATTATCTCCTGTGGTTTCTGGGGTTCTGGCCTCTGGGGAGGCTCAGCCGGGGGGCTCCGGCCTGGGTGCGCACGCAGTTGCAGTTGGGCAGTGGCTGGGGTGGGGCAGCTGGGATGGCTGGCACTGCTGTCCCTTCGTGTGGTCTCAGGGTTTGGGGTGGTCTGGGCTCCCTCCCAGCACGGCGACCTCCTTCAGGCAGCTTCTACGGCACTTCAGAGCTCCAAGCTGAGTGTTCCAGCAAAAAACGGTGCATCTCCTTTTAAGATCCAGCCCTGGGAGTCACGCAGCTCCCCTTTCAGCACAGTCTCCTGGTTACACGCAAGTGACGGCCCAATGCCAAGACCCCTAACTTCACCTGTACCTGCAAAGGCCCTTTGACACGTGAAGGAGTTCAGGACATGAGACCCCAAAACGTGCTGCTTTGGCTTATTGGCCGTTTTAAGCTGAAGGCGTTCGAGAGACAGCAGAGGCAGGACGGGGTTTCTGGCCTGCCTTTTCCACCTGAAGGCAGGCCAGAAAATTTCCCATGAGGAAGACGCTTTCCCAGTACCGCCATGTGTTTTGGTCAACGGCAGGCCACATAGACGACAGTGGTCCCACGAGGTCAGCACCACGCAGCCTGGGAGTGGGGTGGCTGTGCCTGCTAGGTGTGCATGAGTGCCCTCTCTGATGTGCGCCCGGGGACACTGCAGCGGACTTACAGACACGCTCACGAAGACAACCCTCATCTTCCACTACTTCCCTCCCAGATAGCTCCTAGCCTCTTCCCCACAATTTGCTGCTCCTGTCCCAAATCCCTTTGTCTTGTCATTTCTTCCTAAATTCATCATTTCTTTGTCTAAAAGGTGTAAAAGCTCTGTGCTCTGGTCGCTTCCCGGCTCCTCATCCTCTTGGGAGGGCTCCGAGGTTCACGCCACAATTTAACTAGACTCTACGCTTCCCTCCTGTGAATCTGTCTTATGTCAGTTTAATTCTTATTCCTACACGGAGACCCCAAGAGGTGGAGGAGGGCTTTTTCCTCCCCCACACGTGTGAGGTGAATACTCGCAGGTTTACAGGATTAGGACGTTGACATCTTTGGGGGGCTGTCATTTCTCCTCCCTCGGCCCCCACAGGAGACACCAGGCCTATCTCATGATCAGTTACTGTTGCGACTGCCTTCACGGAGCCTCATGAACACGTTGGTTGTCTAATGAATATATTCTCAGCTGGGCTGTGAACTGCTTAATGGCAGGGTCCCGGCGTATTCCCTGATAAATTTAAATTTCCTTTCCTCCTTCTTTTGTACAACAGTTGATTTGCAGCAGCCACATTCACACTGTACCTACCGCGTGGGGACTGCAGCTCGCGGCCGGACCAGCAAGGCGCGCGGCTGGAGAATGTCTCCCTGTTCCTCAAGCCCAGGCCGTCTGGGCACCGCCATGTTTGCTCAGGGCTGGTCCCCAGGGTCTGCAGCCAGGCCAGCAGCCCCATGCTCCATAATGTGTGCACGCGTCTTAAATTAGAGTCGCCAAAGAGCCCCCGGCCTCCCGGAGTCCTCGAGTTCCAAGAGACTTTAGAAATCACTCGATGACCTTTTGTCGATGAGGAAACAGGTCCCCAGAGGTTGGGTGGCTCGGACATCAGCTGTGAAAATTTGGACAACACACTTAACTTCTCTAAGTTTCCTTACATGAAACAAGGTGATAGCATCGCCTGCCTCCCGTGGTTGGGACAGCGACATGAATGAGGAAATTCGTGAGGCGCAGTGTCTGGCAGAAACCACTCCACACATGCTGGCTGGCTCTATGACCATTTTATTTGCACTAGAATCCTATTCTAACCCCTGACCTGGTGCTCATCCTACGACACTGCTCGTCCCACCCAGTAACGGGCAGAGGTCATGGAGAACCGAAACACAGACAATCCGTCTCAGAAGGTCCAGGAGCCTGCCTCCAGCTGCCACAAAGCAGGAAACATCTTGTTTGAGCTTCTCTCGTTTAGATTTTTTCCACTTTATTGAGGTATAACGTATATGCAAAAAAATTGCACACTCTCTCACTTAAATTTGACCCCGCAGGCGCGTCCTGGATGCCTCCCGCACATGAACTGCTGAGGGAGGTCTGCAAAGGAAGGGACGCGGCTTTGCCTTCAAGTAGCTCGCATTACCTCCACAGACTTTATGCTCCGTCACCTGCCTTTGCCACTAAACAACCGTGAGACTTGGAGCAAGTCACATAAGCTCGGACGCCATGTCGCATCTGTAAGGTGGAGATGCTGTGCCGTGACGGAAGTAAAACAGTGTTAGCCTGACGCCAGGCTAAGGCAGGTGCTCGGTAAATGTAAGCTTTGGTTGATGGTGTGGCTACTGGTATTGTCGCTGGATCTGAAGCCAGAGGATGGATGGGATTCAGAGTTGGGGAACCATCTGCACAGAGGTGGCGGTTGGAGCCACAGGATCACGATCCTCTAGAGAGAGGGAGTAGGGAAAAAGAAGAAGACCCCAGGCAGAATCCTGTGGGAGGAGCATCGCAGCAAAGAGCTAGAGACAGGTGGCTTCGGTTGAATCCTGGCTCTGCCATTTATGAGCTGTGTGCATTTGGACAAGTAACATAACCTCTCTGTGCCCCAGTTTTTTCATCTGTAATATGAAGATAATAATAGTACCCACCTCATGAACCTATTGTGAGGATTAAATATGTTGATACACATAAGGTGCATAGTGAGTGCTAAAAAATATTCGCTGTCATTATTATTAATATTCTTGGTACGGGAAATGGAAACATGAGGAGGAGGAAAGAAGAGCAAGAGAGACAGAGGAGAAGTCAGGCCGTGCTAGGTCACGGGAGTTACCAAGGGGGAGAGGGTGTCAACCAGAAAACAAACCTGTGAGGAGGGAGATGAACAACTCGTCGGACCGGACTGTAAGGAAAAGGTTAGGGATATTTGAGGCCAGAGCTTGAGCAGGGTGGCGAGGAAGGAAACCATAATCCAAGAGAGAAAGAGAGGGTCCCCAGCAGAGCAAAGAGGAGAAGGTCACACAGCGGACTGCGGAGCCTGCAGCTCCTGAGTGGGTCGGCTGGGGGGCAGCCGTCGTTGGGGTGCACCTACCTGGAAGGAGTGACGGCCCCGGCATGGCTGCGTGGGGACCCTTGCCAGCAGGCTCCCGAAGGTCCCTGCCGTGCTTTAGGCCCGTCGCTTTTCTGTCTCCAGGAAACTTGGTGAGAATTGACACTTGTATCTTAGATCAGTTGCCTTAGGAAACTGCTCTCAGAAAAGAGAACTTCTCATCTTTCATCATCAGACCGATGGTTCTGCTTTTGACTTGTTTTCTGTAGCTTTGCTGCATGTATTTTCGCCTGCTTCCTTGGTCGCAGGTCTTTCCAGCTGTTGTTGGTTGCCTTTGGGATGACAGAAGCCCTTGACCCCAGGAAAGGAACGCCCTTTCGTTACACAGTCTTGTCTGAGAGGCACGAAGTGACTTTGGAGTCAAAACAAACCCTCCATAGCCCTTTACTTTTGAGCCAAGCAGGCCAGGATTTAGGGTGTCTCTGTTGGTGTCTAAAGTTTGTGGAGGAGTCATTTTCACAAATCTTGGGACTTTTTCCCCTGGAGATGGCACTCACCAGATCTCAAAGTCTGGTAGAAGGCGATGTATTGTTTCGTCACTTGGGGCGACGCAGACCAATAGCAGCATTTGGGAGAAAAGGCCTGTAAGTCATTTCCTCCTTCGGGAAATATTTACGAAGACAAATACTGTTAAGTGACAGGATCTGCACTACCTTACGGGGTGCCGCTGTGCACACGGCTAACACAACCTGTCCTGTGCAGCGCTGAGGGTCTGCTGGGGAAGCCCCATGGTGGGACTGAGCTTCTTCGTAGCCCTGTGGTGGCAGGCGGTGCCTCTTTGAATGCCCAGCAATCCGAGAAACCCAAGATCCAAGCAGCAAACAAAAAGCCGCTGCTAAAGTGCCTCGAACATGCAGACAGGGTATTCCACTCGTGACACACGGAAAATGTCTTCAAGTCGTTTCTCCTGGTTTCTGCCGTGAGAAAGCCACCCCCTGATGCCTTTTCTCGTTGCTCTCTGAGTTGTGTTGGAGAGGGGTTTGGAGGAGGTTCAAGTCACAGAAGGTTTTTAAAGCAGATGTGGGGATGTGGTTGGCTCTGTTTTGGGGGAGTGTTTGGGTGCTTTGTGGATGGGAGACGGCAGGAGAGGGTGTGGGGTCCGGGTGGACAATGATCTGGGCAGAGCTAACATCTAGATGGTCTCTCTGCTTCCTTTCTCCCTCTGCTCGAGAACACCCCCAACCAAGCAGCCAGAGTTCTCTCTCAAATCAAATCACGCTCTACCACTCCTCTGCTTAAAACCCTTCTAAGGCTCCCCATTGCACTCGGGATAAAACCCAGACATCCTGCTATGGCCTATAAGGCCCTCCGTGATCTTTCCTCATCTACATCTTAAATTCATTTGCTATGAGTCTCCCCTCTGTCCCTATGCATCAGCCACAGGGGTCTCTTCTGTTCCTTGGGCACATCAAGTTCTCCTCTACCTCAGGGCCTTTGCACATGCTTTCACACTGCCTAGATTGCTTTCTACCTTTATAGTCTTGTGTCTCAGCCCACAACTCATTTCTTCAGACTGGCTTTCTGTGACCACCTCACTGAAAGAAGTCCTGCCAAATTGCCCTCAATCACCCAGTTTATTTCTGTAATTGTATTATCCAAACCTGTGATTATCTTATTTGTTTCTGATCTGTCTCTCCCATCTAGAATGTAAACCCACAAAGTTTTCTTGTCTATCTTGCTTCCCATGACATCATTGCTGAATAAATGACTTGATGGGTCGACTGGAAAAAAATTAAAAAGAGTCTGTGGGAC